GTTTTTTAACCAAAAAAATACCCACCAAGTGGAAGGGGAAAAGTTTGAAACCCAAATACTCATGGCACTTCCCCTAGAATTGAGAGGAAGTGATTTCTATAGACTCTAACAGATGAGTCCTTGTACCTTTTCCTTATACCGTACTATTTTTAGGAGTAAAAGATTTAAATGTGGGATGATGTTAAGCTTACCAAACTAAGTGATATGTTTTGAACAATTGGCACAAACCTGGATATGTTTTGAAAAATATCTAGAGAAAGATTATTTTAAAACTGGTTTTTCTTATTATAAGAATTTTTCTTAGAACTAACATTTACTTATTTCTTCACTCTACATGTTATCATCTCATTTAATCTTCCAGGCAACTCTGTGAGGTAGACATTATTACTGTGCCCATTTTATAGATGAGAAAACTGAGACATGGATGTGCCCATTTTATAGATGAGAAAACTGAGACATGGATCCAGGCAAGTAACTTGCCAAAGGTTACACCCTAGGAAATGTCAAGCCAGGATTTCAACTCTGATTTCAGAACCTACTCTCTTAGTTGTTATTCTGTATTACCTCTTATGAGAAGTGTTCCATTTTAAATTTCACTTATGAAGAAACATTAACTCTTACGCTGTTGTAGTGGAGTTACATAGAAGCACACCCGTGCATTGTGCATCAGGCCAGTTCTAAGAGTCATTTTTTATCTTCACCAGCGTGTAAAAGTGAGACTTATTAAAATGGCACCATAAATGGTATTTTTGGTAGTGTTTGCTGGAGAAGAGGAATTCTGCAGATGTCCCCACCCAGACAGGCAGCCTGTCCCACAAGTTGGGTCCTCGAGTGAGGCCTCATGATGCATCAGGGGACAGGCTGCTGAGCTCCCAGGCAGGGGCCCTGAGGCTCACATGACAGGGCTTCAGGGCGAGGGCCCAGTGAGCCTGTGCTGGGGGCCTGACCCCCCCCCATCTGAGCAGGGCTGGGAGGGTGGGTGGGACACCTGTATTCAGGGGCTCTGTTAGGAGATGTATCTTGTCCAGGACATGCAAATACTCTACTAGCTGTCTTAATTAATTTTGTTGTGTTTTACTGATTTTGCTATGTTTTTCTAGTAGGCTTTTAAAAAAAACTTGTTTTTTTCTCAACAGATTTAAAAGAAGAGATACTAACTAATTTCTATTAGTGCTCTAAGAATCTAGCTCTTAAAGAGGCAATGCAGCTAAAACCAGAGGCCACCATTGGCTCCAGCCTGCAGTGGACCTGGCTTCTCAGTGCCCAGAATGGCAGCTTGTCACCTAATGCATTGGATACCTCCTACTGTCATGCAGATCCAATATTGTGTCAGAATTGCCTCCTTTATCTTTGTTCTCAGAAATATTTCTTCTGATTAAATCAGAGTGAAAGAAAGTATGTCCTGAGGGTCTTTTTCAGATGTACATTTGCTTAAATCGTGGCCAGGCATGGTGGCTGGAGCCTGTACTCCTAGCGCTTTGGAAGCCGAGGTGGGAGGACTGCTTGAGGCCAGGAGTTAGAGGCCAGTCTGGGCAATAGCGAGATCTGGTCTCTACAAAACAATGAAAAACTTAGCCGGGCATGGTAGCACATGCCTATAGTCCCATCTACTTGGGAGGCTGAGGAGGAAGATTGCTTGAGCCCAGGAGTTTGAGGCTGCAGTGAGCTATGATGATGCCACTGCACTCTAGCTCAGGGAACAGAGCAAGAATCTGTCTCAAAATAAAAACTCTGACCAAAAAAGAAGACATACTGTACGATGGCATTCCATTTCTATGAATTTTTAAAGAAAATGCAAGCTAATTTTTAGTGGCCGAAAGCAGACCAGCGTTTGCCAGGGAGGGAGGATGACAAAGGGCACAAGAAACTTTTGGGGTGAAGGAGATGCTCAGTCTCAGTAGCAGTGGACTTTGGGGTGTAGACAATTGTCAAAACTCACATTGGACCCTAAATTTGTGCAGTTTATTATATGTCAGTTTACCTTAATAAAGCCGTTTTGTAAAAAGCTAGCTGGGAAACAAAAGACCAAATGCAAGCACAGTTTCTTTCTGCAAGTACAAATTTGACTTATGAGTCCTGAAGTTGGCAACCATTGGACAAAGGGTCAAGGCCTCAGCGCAGCGGAGGCGGCCGTGCTTACCAGACGTGGAAGATGCGTGGGATGACTCCTCCATCCCTGAGGAAGCCGAAAGCAGTTTCTCCACATGCAAACCACCACCAAGCCACCAGGGCCTGCTCAGTTTAATTAATTGTCTTTTTCGGTTCGCTGAATAGTACCCCCGAGATCTGGAGGCGTTAATGGACTTCCAGGAAGTGGGCGAGTGCTCTGATCCCCGGCTCCCTCCTGCCCTAAAGTAGTCCCTGCCGCTCCTGCGGTCTTTGCTCGTCCAGGTCCCCGGTGACATGTTCGGTGGTGGTGGCAGCGAGGGGGTCGTAAGCATTTTCGCTGTGCACTCCTTCCGTGGAGGGGGGTGCCCAGGCGGCGTAGTTGCCAGCAGGGCCGCGCGGACCCCTGCCAGGCTGGGCGGGGGCTTCTCCCACCACATCGTCTGCTTCCTTCTGTTCCGAGGTAAAGCTCCTGCCTCTGAGTGATGCTTAAATAATTAAACATGGATTGTCATGCCCTTGCTGAAAATAAAATAAAACTATCCGTCTGCTAAGTGAGAGAGTCACATCAGAGAACGCCTCTGACCTTCAGTGGATGTTTCTGTTGTCCGATGGGGTCTTTTCTTATTTCCATCGCGCTCGGGATTCAGCCTCGGAGGAATGGGAAAGAGCGACTTCCCTTCCCTTTCCTTTTTCTCTTTTGTGACAGTCGGTCGCCTCGCTGCCTGTTTATTTTTCCACCACGCGGCGGTGGCGTGCTGCTTTTGTTGTGCGTGTGTTCTGCTGGCAGCCGACCGTTCGCGAGGCCCCTCCCGCTCCCTGCCTTCCTTCCTTCCCTCTGGGAGTGGTCTGTCAGCCTTTGCCTCCCAGCGTGTCACACGCCACTCCGGGCCCCCTCGGACGGACGCCAGGCGGCCCACCTGGCTGCACCCAGGCCCGGCCCGCCTCACCGCCCTCTCCCCTTCCCCAGCTCTGGACGTGGCTGGAGGAGCTGCAGAAGGAGCTGCTGGACGACGTGTACGCCGAGTCGGTGGAGGCCGTGCAGGACCTCATCAAGCGCTTCGGCCAGCAGCAGCAGACGACGCTGCAGGTGACCGTCAACGTGATCAAGGAAGGGGAGGACCTCATCCAGCAGCTGAGGTGGGCCTCATCCCTTTGCTCCGGTCTGAACACAGAGCATCCGGAGTCCTGCTAGTGATTCCCCTTCCTCTTTTACTTTTTTCAACAATTAGCGCTAATTCTTTGTCCAACTGGATACAGAACAGAGAACGTCTCTGAAGGCAGAGGAGCGTAACAGCTCCCCGCTCTCTGTGCTTTCTTCCTTCTCCTCCCTCCCATACAGTTTAACCTCAGAGTTTTTTCATCACACATTGACTAATAAACCTCAGAATCAGCTTCAAATATTTCCTCTTAACACTCACCTAATCGTTATTGAAATTTCTTTATAAATCAGATTAACGCGAAGCCCCTAGGATCATATCCTCAGGCCCGTGGAGAGCACAGTGGAGCGTCCTCCTCCCAACTCCAGGCCCAGGCAGCTCAGTCCACCCACCCCTCCAGCGCTCCTTGTAGCAGGAGGCGGACGCAGTGCTGGGGTTGGTGGTTTTGTTTCCCTTGGAAGCAAATTGCTTTTATTGGGTCAGGGGGAACCATTTACATAAATTAAACCCCCCCGCTGTATGACCAGAGGACAGTTTTACTGAATTGTTGACTTGATGACCTTACATGATGTTCACTTTGCTAGAATAGAGACGGGCAAAAGTGACTTACTACAGGCTTAATTGATGGCGCTGAAGGTTGAGCTCCGCTGTCCAGTATGGCTCTGTCATTTGTGCTAACAGGTATCATCTGTTCTCTCTAGTTAAGGAGAAAAGTGGCTAAAAATAAAACCCTACTAAAGTAATTTTCTGTAATTGTTAGACTTCTTGCAAGAGTGACTTCAGAAAATGCCAGAGAGATTCTTCAGCACACCCTCAGATTTGGCAGTATTGCTCAGAGGAGGAAGCCTAATGTTGTTTTGCAGGAGGGGCAGCGAGTTCCATTTTCTGAGACGGGCAGTCCAGCTTCCTGCCGGCTTTCTTCCCCCTGAAGATTCGAGTTGCCGGATCTGGTATCTAACAATGTGACACTTTCTCATCGGTTCCTGTTTGTCTCGCTAACCCGTTTCCCCGTGTGCCCTCTCGCAGGGACTCCGCCATCTCCAGTAACAAGACCCCCCACAACAGCTCCATCAGCCACATCGAGACGGTGCTGCAGCAGCTGGACGAGGCGCAGTCGCAGATGGAGGAGCTCTTCCAGGAGCGCAAGATCAAGCTGGAGCTCTTCCTGCAGCTGCGCATCTTTGAAAGGGACGCCATCGACGTGAGTGTCCCTCCTCCGGCACCCGGGGCCCGGCCTTCCCTCTCTGTCCCCTGCCCTGTTCAAGCCCTGTGTCTTCTTCCACCCCCCGCCCTCTGCACAACGAGGAGGGTGGAGGAAGGGGGCGGGGGGCCCGGGGGAGTGGTCCTGGGCACCTGGGAGGCTCTCTTGCTCGTCCCTGGGCGGCGGAGGGACTCTCAGCTCTGGGCTCTGAGGTCAGAAACCGTAGGGAAGGCAGCTTGGGCAGCAGGACCAGAGCAAAGCAAGTGTGGAGTGGAATGGTGGAAGCAAGCGCACCTGTCTCCTCATCTCCGTGTGTGTAAGCCTTGATCGGGTCCAGCACGGCACTCCTCTGTCATTGGAGCAGAGCCGTCGACTTAGGGCGGCGATCCTTTCCCATCGTGTCTCCCTCCGCCACCCGCTCCACCCCTATCCCCCCTTTCTCTTTCCCCTCCAGAGTGGGAATAATCTTAGCCTATGCAGATAGCATTTCAGGTAGTAGGAAACCCGATTTTTTTTCCCCTTATTTCCTCAGAGATGTTCTAAGATTTTAATTCTTAAGTAAAAATTGCATTTGCACCTCACATGTGAATGGAAGAGAGAAGTATAGGTTCCTTTTATCTTTCTTTAACAGAAAGAGGGTGGTCCTGAATTCTATGGTAAGGAAGATCTTTTTTTCTGAACTTAATATACTGCAAGCAGCAGCGAGTATCGTCAGATGAGACTGTGAAACATGATAAAAGGAACCAAAGTCTCTTCAGCCTGCTGAGACGTGGTGCCTGGCAGCTTCACACAGCTGGTGGCAATGACGGCCCGCAGGCCGCCTCTGGGTACCTGTGAGCCGCCCTGGTGGTACTTGGGACTGCCGACGGCCGTCCGTAGAGCACACCCCTCTCCATGTTTATTACTGGTTCTGGGTTTAGAGCTCCAACAGTGCTGGGAGGCACTGGGACCCAGACCCTGAAGTGCTGCCCCAGGCAGGTGCATGGCTGGCCCTCGGTCACCCCAGCGCAGGGGAGGGGCCGTCCACCTGCAGTGGACCTGTCTGTAGGCCCCACCCTGGGGGCAGTTTCCGCCAGGCCAGCCTGCGCAGGCCTCTCTGGGTGCCTTTGGGTGGCTGCTTATCCAAACCTCCTGCACTGTTTTCGTTAAAGACAGACCTTCTTGGATCTTTTCATTGTCATCATTTTAGTTACAACAAGAAAAGAGCCGAACCCGAAACATGTTGCCTGGTAAAACCTGCTCAGATGCCCTCAGAGTCATGACCTTTAGATCCGTGTGAAGCCTGGCGGAGAGAAGGCACCAGCCTGCCGGTTCCTGCCCAGAGAGGGCCCACCGAGGCCTGGGCCTGGATCAACAGAAGGCCGAGCAGGCCTGTTTTCCTCCCTGACTTCAGAGGTCTTGCTTTTGCAAAAAACTTAGCTGCTTAATACATATGTTCAATTAAGAAATACAAAGCAGTCAGAAGCATTAGTTGAAGTTTTTTTTTTTAAGGACATTTTGGTATTAGAAAAAAAATTGGCTTCATTTGTCTTAATGCTATGTTAATGGGAATTTTTTTTTTTAATCGTATTTCCGTTTTCATCGAACCAGATCAGGAAACAAAAACATACATTTTCCTTACACTAAAGCTGCAGAATTGCAAGTGCCGCAGATAAAGCCAGTGTGCCCGACCCCAGGTGAGAGTGTCCCAGAGCTGAGGAGCTTACACCTGTAGCTCAGTCTCAGACGAGCGTCAGTTACAGTCTAAAAGCTTTTAGAAGGTCATGGCCTGAGAACCTCTATTCTCTAATAATCCCGAAATGTGAAAATCTGAGTAGTTTAGGCTTTGGCTGCAGTTTCCTCTCTTACCTGGGAAAATGCCACATCTACCTGCCAGTAGGAAGCACAGAGTGACATTGATGGTAGAAATCCATTTGTTACTTGGTTAATTTTTTTAAATGCCCATAGCTCTTATCTTTCCATTGGAGTAACATCTCCATCTTTGAAAGGTGGATCGAGGTTTTCAGTCTTCATGCTGACTTGGTTTGTGCTCGTGGAGAAAGTGAGTTAGGACCCATGGGAAATGTCGTTCCATTGAAGGGTGTAGTATATTCTTTCACAAAGTTTTTTCCTCTCTGGATTTTATAATTTTTAGTCTTTTAAAATTATATCATGAAAGTTTTCAAACCTGTCCAACAGTAGAGAGGATAATACAGTGAAACTTCCATATGCCTGTGTCCCACATTCAGCAGGATTTTGCCGCCCTTGCGTGCCTTCTTTTGTTATCGTTGTGCTGTAGTAGTTTAGAGAACATCTTTGCCGGTTTATCCTTTCACTGCTAAAGACTTTCCTAGGTATCTCCAAGAATAAGGCCACTCTCTTATATACCCATGATCTACCGAACATCTCCCCAGTTTAACAGTCATTTCTCCTTGTCTCCTGACTCCCCACTGTATTCAGATTTATGGTGTGCCTCAGGTAGGAGGCATGTGGGGTTGACTCTTGAATTTGATGGTCAGTCTCATAATCTATACTCGTCTCTCCTGCCCTCCTTTTTTTTCATGCCATGATTTGTTGAAATACTTAGGTTAGTTGTCAGAGCAACCAGTTCTCACATTGTGTGTTTGTTCACTTGATTTCTTCTAGGTTGTTTAACTGTTTTTCTTTCCCTGGCATTTCCTCTCCACTTGGAAGTTAGATGCAAAGACCTGATTAGATTCAGGTTCTGTTTTTGCGCAAAAGTACTCCACAGGTGGTACATCATAGCTCCCCCTGTGAGAAGGCACATCCTGTCTGATCCTACTTATTTAGAGATGCCGAGATTGGTCTGCGTGTTCAGACAGTGGCATCCTGATCCTTCCATGGTTAAATTCCCCCTTAGCCTTTCATACGATAGTTACTATGCATTAATGATTGTTGCCTGAGACAGTTATATTACTAGAATACGAAAACAATTTCCTGTTTTTATTCTTTCTACATTTAATATTAAATAGATGGATTAATTTGTAAAGAGGAGCATTCCTTCATCATGAAATGTTTAAATAGTTACTTTTTTTAAGCACTAATTTTCAGGATGACAGTTGGTCCCTAACAGAGACCAAAACTTTTTAATTTTTTTTGACTGTTTGGCTCTTCTTATTCTTTTTTAAATATCATTAGGAATTAGTGGATTTTTTTTTTATGTTCTATATATTTTACTCAGTTGTGATAGTTTTTGAGTATCTAATTGTTCCACTTTGGCCAGTGTGAACCCCTTCATCTGGCTTCTGTTTCCATTTATTTTAAAAAATAGCTTTATTGAAGAGTCAACTTATATACCACAAAACTCATCCATCTCAGGTGTATAATTTCTATGTCCTTTTGACACCGCAAGTCTCTTCCTTACTTGGCACAGTGAGATGTGGCCATACAAGGTTATTTTTTATCTCGGTCTTAAACAAATACTTTCCTCGTTCAGATCATCTCAGACCTTGAGTCTTGGAATGATGAGCTTTCTCAGCAAATGAATGACTTCGACACAGAAGATCTCACGATCGCAGAGCAGCGCCTGCAGCACCACGCAGACAAAGCCTTGACCATGAACAACTTGACTTTCGACGTCATCCACCAAGGGCAGGATCTTCTGCAGTATGTCAACGAAGTACAGGCTTCTGGTGAGAAGGGCCCTTCCATTCTGTGTCCCTCGTGGTTACTTCATGTCGCCATGGGAATTCAGTTTATTTCAGTGTGAGGACTGTAAATTTTGTTAGCCCCTATGATACAGATATTAGAGATACCTGTTCCTTAAAAGGGAACATTTTGTGTTTTTTTTCCCACATAATACAGTCATGTTTAGCATTATGGTTAGAGTATTACCCGTGCTACTCTCCCGTATTATTTTGAGAAGCATTAACTTTAATTTTACAAAATGATATGTTGTATCTCTGTGAATGAAATGTAAACCCCAAGAAAGTAGTTTCATGTACTTTGTTTTTTTCTTAGTTTATATTTTACCAGCAGATGTCACTGTAGGCTCAAAAATGTAGCTGTAGTATTAGAAACTTACTTAGCAACAACCTGCATACTGCTTTGCTCATTTTCACAAATTAAATCCTTACTAAAGAGTATACTGTGTATGTTGAGTTTAACAACAAAAACAAACTGAAGTTAATTCATTTGTAAAGGCTGCTATACTTTCAGTAGTTCTCAATGTGGGAGTAGGAGCAGATTGATGGGAAACAGGTTTGGTTTGGTTATCAAGACATCCTTTCTCACACACTTCCATGCTCTAGGCAGGCGTAAGTGCTCTTCTGCTCGGCTGTGCCCTCCTTGAATTTGCCCTTCAGTGTGTGGCTTGGCCCCAGGCGGGCATGCCCCTGGTAAAAGCAGATTGTGTGCCATCCACCGTTTAAGAACAGAAGGTTGAAGTGCTGGCCGCATTCTAGGATCTCCCTTCACTGTCCGCAGGCGTGGAGTTGCTCTGCGATAGAGATGTAGATATGGCAACTCGGGTCCAGGACCTGTTGGAGTTTCTTCATGAAAAACAGCAGGAATTGGATTTGGCAGCAGAACAGCATCGGAAGCACCTGGAGCAGTGCGTGCAGCTGCGCCATCTGCAGGCAGAAGTGAAGCAGGTAAGCAAACAACTGGACGCGGGCGAAGCCGCACTACAGACGCCCGGTGAGTGATGCATCTTCCTGTAGCATTGGGAAAGACGATCCCTGAACAGATAACTGTCCCAATATGTACGATAACCACCCGCCTCCACCATACAGCCGTACCTAATGTGTGGAAGCAGAGCTGGTGGCCCGGATGGCTGCCTGTCCACTCTGTGATGGGAAAGGCTTTTCCCCGCCTGGCAGGTATAGCACTTGAGAGTAGCATTGTCAGCTTGTTTTGTTATTGGTAACGTCTTGCTTGAAACCCTGAGCACATTGCTTCCCGGGCTAATAACTGTGATTTTTCTGCCAAATATTGTCATGATCTGGATCGGATCACAGACTATGAATGGCTGGGGCTTTTCTTATGTTATCAGGATGGCAGGGCAAAGTAAAAATGGGGCATGGGGGAGGGATTGCTTTTGGCTCAGTGCTGGTGGGATTCCATGCACCGATGTGACATTTTATCCAGTAAGCAGGGCTTCTGCTGGTGAAAGTGGCTTGGTGGAGGGAGATAAGGCCATGGTGTTCCGGCACATGCACAGAAAGCAAACGTTTGGCTGGAGGGGACTTAGGTGCCACTGGACCCTGAGTAAGGTGTGGTGCAGAAGTAGGTGGTCTCACGTTAGAGCAGAAATACTATCAAATCTGAACCGTTTAAAAGAGCACCTATTGATCTCCCACGTGCCATCAGTATGGGTATTTTTATATACAAATGAAATAAGTATTCTGACCTGCCGATAATGTGTTCCCTCCTGCCAAAAACAAAGTAATTCATTTAAGAAATGAAGGAGTAAATTATTGTATCCCTTAGGAATTGCCTTTTCCTGTAACAAAGACTGGGAAACAGTGGCTTGAAAAAGGCGTTTCCCCCCCGTGATGAGTCAGGATATAGGATTGCTGGTGTCCATTTAGTGGCCCCAGGATTGGCCTGAGATCTGGGTCTTTCCCTTCCGGTTGCCAAATGGCTATCCACGCTCCAACTCTCACTTCCATATCCCCGGCATCAGGAAGTGGGAAGCACAGCAAGAAAGAGGTAGCAGCAGTATCAGAAAAGAAATATTTTCACAACTTCCCCAGCAGCTGCAGCTTTGATCTCACTGGTGGGCATTGTGTCAGACCTGTAACCAAGCTGTAACAGGAGCTGAGAAATGGTTTTATTTTTAAGCTCTCCCCCAAAGTTGGGGTTTTCCGAGTAAACGATAAGAGGAGAATAGGTGTTGTGTGGGTTACTAGAGGTCCCCGCCAAAGGTAACTATCCTGAATGACCTCCCACAGTTTCTGTGGCTTCTGCTGTCAGAATTGACTTCTCTTTTTGTTCGTGTGTAAAGTTGAGAGTCTCACAGTTTGACCCTGAGCGTTGTAGTATACTGTAATTCACACTTTGGTTATTGTGCCATTTAACACCGACATTAGATTGCAAAATAAGTTACTAAAATAATCGTTTCCCCTTATCAAGTAGTTTGCCCATTTTTCAGACCTAAAAATACTGAAAGGGAATGAAAATACTTTTCTTAATTATCAGGGAATTGTGTCCATAGGTTTTCTGATATGTCATCCTCAAGCTGTTTTAACCTGGGGACAAATATTAACAGTCCGCTGGACCCTCCACCTTTTCATTTCCTGCTCTCTACTAAAAATAACAGAATTGATTTAAAATATGTAGCACTTGGGATCGAATACCACTGAAGGACATCAGGCTGTTGCCAGTAAAGACGTCTCACTTCATACCTGCCCCGAGCCACTAGACCACCTTGCAGGCTCATGTCCCGTCCCTGGTGGTCTGCAGGATGCTCTGGAAAGTCCACTGCTTGGACTTATCCTGTGTAACGTTTCAGGTGCTGGGTTGGATCCGCAATGGAGAGTCCATGTTAAATGCGGGACTTATCACAGCCAGCTCATTACAAGAGGCAGAGCAGCTCCAGAGAGAGCACGAGCAGTTCCAGCATGCCATCGAGGTAAGAATGCCTGGTCCTGTCTCTGTGAGCTGGATCTTTCTGTCCTCAGGGCAAACGTACTAAAGCCCCTAACATGGCACTGACCTTGGGAGCCAAATGGGGCTTGATTGGTGCAGAAAACTCAGGGGACCCAAAAGATTGCAGGAGAAGGGAACAGTGTGGCGGCTGCAGTGGAGTGAGGACGCACACCCCAGCCAGGCGGCCTCACAGCAGGGGTCCGGAGCGGGTCGGTGGTGGGGGAAGGTTCCTGTTGCTCTCCCACTTTACGGTCCCTGGCAGGGCACACTTTCTCCAGTCAGAAACACCTCCGGGCCGGGCACGGTGGCTCACGCCTGTAATCCTAGCACTCTGGGAGGCCAAGGCGGGTGGATCGCTCAAGGTCAGGAGTTCGAGATCAGCCTGAGCAAGAGCGAGACCCCGTCTCTACTAAAAAATAGAAAGAAATTAGCTGGACAACTAAATATATACGTATATATATATATATATATAAACAAATTAGCCGGGCATGGTGGTGCATGCCTGTAGTCCCAGCTACTTGGGAGGCTGAGGCAGAAGGATCGCTCGAGCCCAAGAGTCTGAGGTTGCTGTGAGCTAGGCTGATGCCATGGCACTCTAGCCGGGGCAATAGAGCAAGACTCTGTCTCAAAAAAAAAAAAAAAAAAAAAAAAAAAAAAACGTTCGAACAACCAGGGAGCCTAGATTGGAGTCTCAGCTGATGTTTTATGTCTTGCTGGTCTCCTAGGCACATTCCCACTATATAGCCAACCTCAATAAAGCATAGTGCTCTGGGGATCTCACCATCATGAAGTTACTGTCGATCTGGAAACAGTGCTGATGACAAAACTCACACTCTTGCTTAAAAGCAGTGTTGTCCACCTTGACACGAGAGTCAGTGCTGTGGCAGAACGACTCAGGCCAATTCCAGGCCTGCCCAAATTCACCCTCAGGATGTGGACTAATTGTTTTTTTAGGGTTTTTTGCAGGGTAGAGGAGCGTGAGCCATAATTCTGATTGGTGGTCGCAAGGTAAAGTCAAGAGAAAAAGAGCATTTGATTAGAGAAAACTTGTTTCCTGCTCTGCTTGCATACATATTGTCAGCCAGAGAAGAAAGCTGTAGAAGTCACCACTAATTTATTCCCTGGGTTAATTTACTTTCAGCTGCTTGTTGCCAATGGACACACATTAACATTTCTTCCTGAGGCTTAAACTCCGGGCATCTTTTGAAAACTGTACACTGTGCCAATGATTTCTAGTAATTAAATTGCGAATACTAAGTCATTATGTCTCGGTAAAGGCTGAGACTGTATTGTTTATAGTATTTTACGGGATAATTCACATATTTTTGGGTGAAATGCAAAATTTTGCTATTTTTTAAAAAAATAATCTGTTGTGCACAGGGACCCCTATGCTCCTCTGACTATCCTCCGCCCCCACCCAGAGCTCTAGTTTTTCGCTGGAGACAACCTGACCTCTCTGCCCCTCGTGGGTCTTCTAATGAGGATAGATGAGCAAAGCTCTCCCTGGACTGCACTGGCCATTTTCATAGATTTATCATATGTCATGGACCTCCGGTTCATCCTTAGCTTTTCATTAATTTTTTCTTGTCTTCTTAAAGTTAGTAGTTCTTGAAAACTTTTCACTAGAGTCCAAAGTTAAGTTGCAAGTGAAAATTAAAAGAAAAAAAAAAAGAGTATTCACTCTGGCCACCTTTTCTTCACTTGTTCATTTGCCTCCAGTGGCTATTATAAGAAGGATCAATGGGAATAATAAACTTGGAACATTTCAACGGCTTTTTAAAAAAGACATTGGCTGTTAAGGGTCTTTGCTACTGTTTCTCAGGCTGAGAACCCCACAATTGAGACCCATTCTGGGAAGTCTTACTGTATTTCACCCTTCATTAGCTGATTTAAATATAAATTTAGTTGTTGCTGAGCATAAAAACTTTTTTACTAAACCATCTGCTGTGCTTTTAGAAGCGTCCTGGTGAATGTTAACTGAAGTTGTTTCTACAACATCACGACGAGCAGAATAACTGTAGCCATCCTGTTCCTTCCCAGTCAGTGGGTGACACACTGTTAAGTAAACCTTCCCTGCCCTTCTGTCACTAGAAGACACACCAGAGTGCACTGCAGGTGCAGCAGAAGGCGGAGGCCATGCTGCAGGCCAATCACTACGACATGGACATGATCCGAGACTGCGCGGAGAAGGTGGCCTCGCACTGGCAGCAGCTCATGCTGAAGATGGAGGACCGCCTCAAGCTCGTCAACGCCTCCGTCGCCTTCTACAAAACGTCAGAGCAGGTCAGGGCAGCGCTCCCTTCCTTGGGCTCCCCACTGACATTTTATCTTGAGGTTAATTTTATTGGACAGCTCAGTCATTAATAACGTGTCAGTTATTGTGGAACGAGTCCGTTGCAAGTCAAGCAAGGAAAAGACATTCTGGAATTAAGATTATTCCTGCTTACCTTAGGTATCAAAGGATGGTAAGTGGGAAGGTAGCTGAGACCACACCTGTTTTCTGCTTATTTAAATGTGTGGCCTAAAACACGTCAGAGAGAGGCAGGAGGTTCAGCTTTGGAGTAGTTCTTGTTCTGAAAGACCCACCTGCTTTCAGCCCTGTATTTGTCCTCAAGTCAGACGGAGCCCGTGGCTCCTCCTCATGGTCTGGGTCCTCCCGGCAGCACTTTCATCCCCAGAGCCGGATTGAAAGTGCTCCCCAAAGATGCCAGTCGGTGACGGCGGATGCACATCTGAGCCTGGAACTTTCTCCTGCCCACAGGTGTGCAGTGTCCTCGAGAGCCTGGAGCAAGAGTACAAGCGAGAAGAAGACTGGTGTGGTGGAGCCGACAAGCTGGGCCCCAATTCTGAGACGGACCACGTCACCCCGATGATCAGCAAGCACCTCGAGCAAAAGGAAGCGTTCCTGAAGGTACGGGGCTGGCTTTGTGGGCACTGGTGCCCCACTGAACAGTGCAGGCTGCCCCGCTCCTGGGTGCCCCCGCCGCGGGCAACGGCCGGGCCTTCCAAGGGAACCCCACACACACCCCACGGCTCTCACCTTGTGTGGAAAGTGATTGGGGCAATGCTGCGTCGGCAGGAAGTTAGTTGAAGAAAGAAAACCTTAAACTCTTTCTCATGTATGAATTACACTTTCTGGTTTTCAAGGAGGAAGAGCTAGAAATCTCTGTGGATAAGGATTGGTTAGAAGTCACAATACCAAATGATGCTGGGGACAGAGAGGGTGATTGGTTGACTGATTAACCGATTTGGTGAAACGTAATGCCTATAGCTTAAAATAATCCTCCTTTGGAAGTTCAGCCTTTGGAATAAAGATCGTATCTCAGAAGAGGTGTAAGCACAGTGTGGAGTAGACACAAAGCCTCGTGGCTTACTGCATCAGTCACGAGTACCTACTCGGGAAACACCTCCCATGAGAGAAATTTGATCCCATGCAGACCACACTGGGAGTTTTCTCTCCGACAAGCTTAAGGAATTTTTCAAGACTGCTTTGTCGTATTTTTATAATATGTCACCTTCGTTACACGTAAGTCACAGATGTGCTTTGAAAGAATTAGATTTTTAAAGTGGTCACTATGTTTAGAAACATTTGACACTGAGTGCTTCCGTGTTGCATTCTTGGAGAATTTCGGGGATTCTGCTTGTTATCACCACTCAGACCTGTTAAGATAGGTGTGGTGTTTACTTTTCCTCGTTGCTTTATGAAGCTCATTTTCAATCATTGCTTGAGCATTCTGACCCCCTGCCCCCCCCACACACACCATTTCCTGTGATGTTGAATGATTTTTGTTTTGTTTCTGAAGTTGATCATCTGACAGAGGGAGTTGTTTAGTCTTGGAAAATAAATTGTAACTTTGAAAATTATATCTGGTAACTTTTTAAGTAAGTCAAGATGAGAAAGCAGTGTTGTTTCCACAGTCACCAACTGTAACTGTGTCAGACAAGACCTTGAAACTCCTGCCTCCAACTTGTTACTGCTACTGAAGTTTCCTAAATGCCCACCACCGTTAGGATTTTGAGTGGGAATCATTATAATTTGTCTTTTTCAGGAATCTATTTAGGATAAAAGAAAAATGAATACTACAAAGCTAGTGTAATGAAGAAAGATAATTTAGGTAAAATTACTAAACAAAAATATAGATGGTCCCTGACTTATGATGGTTTGACTTAAGATTTTTCAACTTTACAATAGTGTGAAAGCAGTTCACATTCAGTAGAAACTTTATTTCAAGGACCCATACGCCCATCCTTTCTTTCACTTTCAGTACATTATTCAATAAATTACATGAGATATTCAGCACTTTATTATAAAATTGCCTTTGTGTTAACTGATTTTGCCCAACTCTGGGCTAATGTATATGTTCTGAGCATATTTAAGATGGGCTAGGCTAGACTATGATGCTGAGTAGATCAAGCATATTAAATGTATTTTTGACTTATGATATTTTCAACTTATGATGAATTTATTGTGATGTAACCTCATTGTAAGTCAAGGGGCATCTATAATCACAAGCCTGTTTGGATTCCTTTGTTCAACCATAATTTTGTAGTGTTTGTGTATAGGATATTTTAAAAGTTTATTATAGAAATTTAAGGATATATGCAAAGTAGAGAGAATTCATAATGAACTCTCACCCAGCTTCAGTGATTATCAACATATGGGCATATGCCCACCTTCAGTGGATTATTTTAAATTTTAGATATCATATAATTTTATTTGTAAATATTGTAGTATATATCTAAACATTAAATTCTCCCTTTCTGAAACATAACCACAATACCATTATCATATCTTTAAAATTAATAGTAATTCTTTAATATTATCTGAAGTCTAGCATTGTTAAAATTTTTCTGGTTGTCCTATAAATGTCTTTTTACATGTGGTTTTAATCAGGATTCAAACAAGATCCACATATTGATTTGGTTGGTGTGGCTTGTGAATCACTTTTAATCTAAACAGCACCCCTCTTTTCATTACTGTTTATTAATTGAAGAAATAGATTATTGATACAATGAAATTTCTCCCATTCTGGACTTTGCTAATTGCAACCTGTGGAGTCATTTAGCACCATTTGCAGTCTTCTAAATTTCTGTTAGATTGAGAGGCTTGGTCAGAGTCAGGTGTGAGCGTGTGTGTGTGGTGGTATGTATGCGGTGTGTGTATATGTGTGTGGTGGTGGTGAGCTTAGAATGCCTTGCTACCCGTGCTTGCACTACCTCAGAGGGCGGGCACATAACATCTGGTTCTCTTTTTTATCTCTGTGATACGAGGATGTGTCGGTGGTTCACATGGGGGGTGTCCCATTCATCCCTGTGTATTTCCCCACCATGTTTTTGCCTGCTGGGTTTAGCAGCCAGTGATGGTATTGTTTCATTAGGAGTTGCAAATGGTAATATTCTAATTCTGTCATTCCTTTGGCCTCAGTTGGCCGGAATTATTTCTTCAACTACTTGGTTAGTCTAAAATAGAGTTTGTACAGAAAAAGCAGAGTAAATGCTTGATCTTTTTATTTGCTATTTTCAGGATAATGCATTATTGCCACAGCAACCTTTATGTATGACTTTGTTGCAGTCTCATCATGGATTTCAATGTATTTGGTGTGTTTCAGGCAATCAGTCATTTATCTGTTAATGTTCTCCTTGTCTCGTCCGTAGGGGCCCCTTCACGTCAGGTTGCTAAGATGTCCTTTAGACGTAATCCTAGTGGTCTTTGGCATTTTCCTTGCTGTTTGGTATCACAACTTGAAGTGCCAGGATCAGTAGAGACTTGTGATGTATTTTTCTCTTAATTAAAAAAAATTATACCCTAGACTGAAAAAGCCTAGAAACAATGACACCCCAATAGCACTGAGCATCCCTAGTTCCCAGATTATGGTCTCCAGCGACCATTTACCGCTAGGACTCCTTGCAGAAAAGACTGATTCCAGATCTGAGACAGGAAATGTACAAGATAGTTCCAATTCGAATACAATTAAGGATTTTTTCCTTAACTTTTTCATTTTATATTTGTATTCTTTTCTCTTATATAAAACCCTATTTTTTTTAATATACTGATGAAATTACTTACTTGGTTTATCCTACTACATAAACAGGTAATATCAGTTACCTGTTACTACCATAGCACCACGTAACAAACTACCCCAAACTCATTGGCTTAAATCAGGGTTGGGAACTACGAACTGAGGGCTCAGTGCTGCCACGTCTGTTCATTTGCATATCATCTATGGCTGTTTCATCTACAGTGATTGGCTTGAGGACTTGTGATGGCAAAACAGAGACTGTATGACCCCCAAAGCTGAAAGTATTTACTATCTACCCTTTATGTAGAAATCCAGGTACAGCTTAGGTGGGTCCTGTGGCTCAGGGATCTCATAGCTGAGGCCCAGGTGCTGCCTGGGGATGCCATCCCCTCAAGGATCGACTGTGGCAGGGCTTCCCTTCCTCTCGGCCTTAGGCCAGTGGCTGCCCTCAGTCTCCTGTGTCCCATGGGCCTCCTCATAGAGAAGCTTATAACACAGCAGCTGGCGTCTTCAGAGCACGGGCTTCAGGACAAAGAGATTCTTTTGTAACTGAAATAGTATTTAACCTTTGCATTTTCCAAACCACAAGTTGGCCAGATAACTGTTTTAGGTAAAGACATATGTGAGCCGTGTGACATTGTCATCCCCGTATACTCAAAATACGTGTTTGTGTAAGTCAAGTTAACAACGCTTTGCTCTCCATTACTTCGCAGGCTTGCACTCTTGCTAGGAGGAATGCAGACGTCTTCCTGAAGTACCTGCACAGGAACAGCGTGAACATGCCAGGCATGGTGACGCACATCAAAGCTCCTGAACAGCAAGTAAAAAGTGAGTGTAGCTGGGGCTCGGCAGGTCAGGGTGTCTAGTGAGCAGCGAGGGAGCTCGACTTGACGTGTCCTAGACTCTGGATCTAGGGTTTCATTTTAAATGTACATTTCATGTTAATGAAGTCCTCGTAATTATCTTAGTTTAATAATAAAGTGTTAAGCAAACTTATAGGCTCATAATTACTGAATAAATTGGTGAATGTAAACAGAAAATGTAGATTCAGAATGTTATTTATTGCCATTGGGTATTTTGTTAAAGTGAGTAAAAATATTATAAATAGGAAAAAAATGAAAACCAGAGTTATCTATAGGCAAAATATTTTTAAAAGTTCAAATCAAGAAATCATGTACCAATATTATTGCTGTAAAGCGTTATCAATTTTTGATACCTAAGGCATGGTTAATTAATAAAAACAAATTGCAAAATAATATTATATACTTTAATATCATTTCAGTATAAAAATCTGTACGACCATGTTTGCATATCTGTATGTAAATGCATAGAAAAAGGTCTGGGAAAGTGTATACTACACGTAACTACCAGGCTTGGTGTGGACAGAAAGGTGAACAGATGAGGAAAGTAGGGTACAGAGTAAATAACTACCTTGACCAGTGTCACACAGCCTCAGTTGAGTTTTATAGGAAAAAAATTGTGATAATCAGTTAACACATGATTCATCACACATTTTTTAAAACAGTATTACTGGCAAAAACTTTCTATGTTACATTCTACTCTCTGTTCGTCTGATTCCTCTGTTGTCACAGAATAATTTTCTATCAGACGAGCAAGTCCTCTCAGTTCTGTCAGTGAGACTTACATTTATTAATCGTAGGGCTTTTCTTCTGGGAAAATGAGCAACTAGCAAAAACAACCATTTTTCTGCATGAAAAGTCTTTATTGCCAGCAAGTTATTTGCACTGATAAACAGTTTACTTGGCTCATTTTCTATAAAAATAATTTCCTTTCTCCCACCTCTCCATATCGCTTTTGTTTGTTGGTTGTATTCTGTTTTCTCTGATCAAAGATGTTATGGTCTTTTCTAGGTTGTGTTATTAATAGTTTGGCACGTGTATTTGTGGGCAAGAGGAGGGTATGTTTCATTTATTCACTCTCTAGATGCTCATCATGCACTCGCTGTTGTATGTCGTAGCGCTGGATGTGGGGAGGATTAAAATAGAGATGTTCTGTTTCTCTCACAGTCTACTTGGGGTCACGTGAAAGGTTCATCATGCTCAAGACAGTGCAGTAAATCTATGTAAGTGCGACAGTGACAGAAAAGACAGAATAACCCCAAGGCACAGGCAAGGAGTCAGACCACATGGTCAGAGGGTCCCTCGGAGGCCGAAAAGGCCCCATGTCCAGGAGGCGGTTACCACTCTGTCTGCTGTTCGCTTGCCAAAAATTACTGCTGGCCCGGGCAGAGACTATGGAAATGAAAAGACTGCAAAAACCCATCGGTTCATATTCATGTTCATGTGTGATATTCTCATTTAAGTGGTAGCTTAATTTTTTGACAGATTTCAAATGTTTGTGTCCTAATTTTTTTCATTAAACTAGTTCATCTTTCAGTGGAGTAAAGATAATAAAACACGTTCACTGAGCTGGTGTGTAAATGCCATTCTTTTGTTTCTCAAGTACACAGCCTGCCAGGAGCTCAATAAATATTTGTGGGAAACTTCCTGTTTTTAAGGTTTTTCCAATATACTAAAATAGTATTCTGAGGACCACTTATGTGATTTGCAGTTGCAGTCTTGGGAATTTTTTTCCTAAGTTGGTGGTTTGTTTCATAAACTTATAGAGTAAAATATACTTATTGTAAAAAAAAAATCCAAAAATTGTACACATATATATACGTTAACCTAATTCCTTTGCCACTGGTAACCACCGCCAAGACTTTTGTGCATCCTGTGTATGTATATACATGTAAATGTGTAGAGAAATGTAAACATGTATATTCCACTCACCCATCCCTCTTTTTAATTTTTTACAAAAATGGGACTATATTCCCTTGCACCTTGCTTCTTTTACTTAATAATATCTCTTACTCATCTTTGTACGTCAGAATTTAAGATCTGCTGTCTTCAGTTTAATGTCCAATATAGCATTTCTGTAATCAATTTGACCTGTCCCCCAGTTAGCAGGTCATACACTGCTGCCAGTTTTCCACTGTTCTGGCCGGCGAGTCGGTGTTTGAACGTCTTAGCGCACATAGCATTGAGTGCTGGTGTGAGCACCGTTGGCCTGAAAGACGAGTTCCTAGTTCAAAGGCACACACATTTTCAGTGTCATTACCGACTGCCGCGTTGCCCTCTGGGAGAGTCGTTCTCAGGTTTTCTCCCTCAGTCATACAGGATCATAATCACCTGTTTCCCTCAGCTTTTCCAGCATTGGATAGTATCTGTCTTTGCCAGGAGGACAGCAAAAGATGGTCTCATTGTTTGAATGAGGCTAAACATGTTTCTGTGTATTTATTGACCATATTTTAAAAACCGTGAGCTGCTATTTCATATGCTTTGCTCATTTTTCTAATGGATTGTTCTTTTTTCTGTTGACTGTTAAGTAAATAACATCTGTGTTTTATATGTTCCCAATCTTTAAATTTTTTCGTATAATATTTTATGGTGGTTATTATTTGGTTATGACATTTTAAATCTTTGTGTAATAAGTTTTATTTATTTATTTGCCTTTCTGGCTTCATGCTTCTCTGCTTCCCTACTTCCATCCCTTCCTCTCCTAAGGGTTTATGGTTTCATTTTTGGTTATTTTTTTAAAAAACACCTTTGTTTTCTTTTAGTACTCCATTTTAACCTAACCTTTAATATATATGAAAGTCTATCTATAGGAAGGTTTTAATGGTCTCGAACAAAGTATCTAATGCTGGTGTTTTTTTAGCCATTGTCACATTGCCCCAGCAGGAGATAAAATGTACGTATCCTACTAATCCAGCTAACTTGAGGTATTACATACAGACCAACCTTAAGTTTCCAGTGATCTCTTTATTATAATGTAATAAATCACAATGAGGCAATGAAGAGAGGTCTGGTGGACATTTTTATGGAGAACCTCGGACAGGAAAGCAGTGTGGTTCTTCATTTAACGTTCTGCCTTGCTACAACATTTGCATAAAAATCTGAAAAAAAATGCACAGGATTTTTTAGGTGTTTTAATTGGTTGCAAGCACCAACACACATCTTTTCCTTTTTTCTCTCAGATATCTTGAATGAGCTCTTCCAGCGGGAGAACAGGGTATTGCATTATTGGACCATGAGGAAGAGACGGCTGGACCAGTGTCAGCAGTACGTGGTCTTCGAGCGGAGCGCCAAGCAGGTCAGCACACGCCTGGTGCCGGGCACGCTCCGCCGTGCTCACCTTCCGTTGGCAGGGAGGCAGGGCTTGACGTTTCCACCACCTCAGACACCCCTGTCGAATGGCAGACAGTACTGCCTTTTAACTAACAGTTTGTTTTAAAAAGAAAGCCCTGAAAACCCCTCAGCCTGGTAGAAGTATGTCACTGGGAAGAGGGCGATCTCAGCCCTTGGCGAGCGCACCGCTCAGCTTCCCCCACCTCCCTTACCTCGCATTTCAGTCGGCCACGTGCAAACAGTCATTATGGTGAGGACTGAAAATCATTGTGGAATCTTGGTTCTGTGCTTGTGTAAATATGATAGGTGGCTTTTCATATTGCTGTATTTATATTTTCAAGACAAAGTTTTATTTTTCAGGTAAATCAAGCTAAAATTAAGAAATGTGACAGAATTTCTAATAATTTAGCATAGTTAATAAATGTTCACGCATCGGGATACATTCAGAATATCCCCCTTCTTAAGCTGTTTTGGGATAAAGTGCTGCTGCCTATATCATCAGTCATGAGATCATTTTAGTGTAAAATCCGAGTGACCCCTGTCTTAAGCATTAAGATTTTTATCACTTCTTTCTGGCCTTGATGGTAGCATAATAATCCATAAACTCTTCACCTTGAATTCGGGGATTGGGAGGGAAACAAGAGAAGGCACGTTCCCCAAACACCTGCGTGTGGCCTGGCCCCAGGCCGGGTGCTGGGTGTGTGCCATCTCGTGTCCTCTGCGTGAATGACCTCTGAGTCCCCCAGGGCCCTTCTATGTTGTTGGTCAGTGTTGACACACATCCTGACCTTGACTCAGACCTAGACTGTCTTCTGAATCCACTTCGCAACTTAGTGTACGCCTGGGAGTAGGCATCCCATAAAATCTTTTTAGCTCAAGAAAAATTAGATTTTCCTCAGCGTAGGTTTCCCACTTAGGGAGCAGATTTTTGTTCCAGTTTGCTGATACTAGTCTCAAAGTGGGCAGCCTGTGCCAGACTGTAGAGGTCCCCAGGGTTGGATGGTCTGGGTTCCTGGGCCATGGGTCTGGAGCCCTGACTCGGCCATTCGTAGTAGTTGAGGTTTCCTTTGCATTTTTTCCTGCTAAAATGCCACAGATGCTGTGATGTATATAGTAGAGACAGCCAATGTTTCTGTCCCAAGACCAGCAGATCATAGTGAGTAACTGAGAGATTACAAAGGCAAATGTAAACCCTCCACTTCTTTATGCTGCTTTTCCTTAGCATGGCCTTTTTACGGGTGCATGTTTAAATAAGTCTGATTTCACTTCAAATGTATAAAAATAGAAGAAAAAAAAGGCTGCCCCTAAACACTTGAGACAATATATGACTTAGAGCTGTCATTGTGTTGTAGTCTAAACCTAGCTGGTTCTCTTCTCCCCAGGTGGGGTCATTTCTCTCTTCCAGCTAGAAGGGCTAAGTCCTGTCTCTGCCCGTGTCTTCCCAGTGGCAATTTATGCAGAATGTGGAAGGGTCCTCTGCAGGAGCTCCTCAAAAAGCATGTGAAGTGGGTACATACCCGGGTGCTCCAGCTGGACACAGGAATAGGAAGAAAGACCTAAAGTTGTAGAGTTGAGAGCTGGAAATATACATATGCTTTCTAGTTCTTTTTTGAATTATAATACTCCAGTAAGGCTCTAAAATTTTGGTAACATGAATGTCTGGATATTTAGCCGTGTGAGACTTTCATGCCACCCCTTTAACCCACATCTTCTCAGGATTCTTTAAAAAAAGGATCTTAGCTGTGGTTTCTTTTATTGTGCTTTTACTGTGCCTTTAGGTTCATGGTTATAAGAAACTGTTGAACTTTTTATTGTTGCTACATAAGTGACAAGATTATAACTTTCTAGAATGTCTTTTTTTAAAAAAAAATTTTAGAACTGATACTCATTTCAGAAACTTGTCTCTCTTCGAGGGAGTGTTTCTTGATGTGTGCCAACCTTGTCTTGTGATTTGACATTTAGACGAGGTACTCGGGAATTAAACGTCTCTCACAGATGTTCAGCCCAGGAACATTGTTTCATTCCTTCCCTCTCCAGGCCTTAGAATGGATCCATGACAATGGGGAGTTCTACCTGTCCACACATACCTCGACAGGTTCAAGTATACAGCACACCCAGGAGCTACTGAAAGAACACGAGGAGTTTCAGATAACTGCCAAGGTAAGTCCAGATTGGTGCTGGACTTCTGTTCAGTGGCCCATAAGTCAACCTGGCTTTTCCCAAAACAATCTAAAATGGGATACTGCAGGAAAATGAGGGATTTCTCAAAAATATCATTTAAGTAATAACTCACGGAATTGGAGAGACTGGGTGAGCCAGTAGGTTGTTGCATGTTCACTTGGGTGGCACTTCTTACCTTCCTTCACACCTGTCCCCTCGCTGTCCTCATCCCTCCCCCATCTGTGCCCGTCTGTCCCTTTGGTATCTGCAGGCACCTCCCTCTCTTTCCTTTCATTCTTCTTTGTTCTTTTCATTATTCCCTTGCTCTCTTTTCTCTCTTGCTTTCTTTACTAAGGTATTTTCTGACTACTTGCTATTTTTGTGAAACACTATTGGGTATTATCGACTTGAATTTTGTGTATTTGGTGGGTGTTGTCTTTCCTTGTCTTTAGTTGGTGGAAGATATTCCAGTGGTGTTGCTTGCACTCAGTCCTGCCATGAGGTTGTCTGTGTTTTATGATCAGCAGAGTTTATGTCAGCATCTCTGTTAATGGGTGTTCATAGGCTTAAAAAACTGGAGGCATTTTCACTTTTCTCCTGAAAATCAAAATAGAATTAAATACTTAATTAAACACAATTAAATCTTTATGGCATATGTGAGTAAATATGAACTTTTAAGGAAATAATATAAGAATCCACATATTGACATGAATGTTTTCCCAATTAAAGCACATACCTGCAGAGACTGCTTCCTTCTTTTAGCTCAAAACAGTTTTGAGACTCTTTTAGGGTTACCTTGTCAACCTGTGATGTTTTGTTTCTCAAAGTTTTTGAGTCTGTATCCTTTGTATATTTTCAGAAGCACCTCTATTTTTGTTTTTCTTTTCTTTTTAATTTCAAAATATTACAGGGGTACAAACATTTTGGTTACGTGAATTACTTTTGTACAGTGAGTCAAAGTTATAAGTGTGCCCACCCCCCAGATAGTGTGCATTGTACCTGTTAGGTGAGAGGGAAAAAAATACATATACACATGCATGCACTTGGTGGTTCATCCGTATAAAACATCTCTGGAGTGATCCCCAGTGGGGCTGGTGACAGTGGAAGGTGGGGTAAGAAGAGTTTTCACTTTGTATCTTTTTAAACTCTTTTTTTGAATCCTGTCAATGTATTTTTAAAATACTAATAAAAATACACCGAGGTATGAAATTTTCATGGATTAGCAGATTTGTTGTACTTAATTTTTATCGCCATTTATCATTCAACAATTATTTACTGTGCCCCTACTGTGTGCCAGGAACTACTGGGCTCATGGATTGCACATTCCAGTTAGAGACACAGACAACATGATAAATGGGGAGCATGCAGCCCCCCCACACACACTCTATCTCTAAGTAAGAAGAGAAAAAAACAAAGCCACGGGGGCAGAGAGGATTGCAGTCTTTGACAGAGCCAGAGAAGGCCTCTTTGAGAAGCCTTTTGACTATCTGATTAGCATTTTTTGCTTCAATGAAGCTTATGCACCGAAGTTGTATCAATCTACTAGGCTTCACTTGGAGGAAATCGTTCATGTTGTACATAGTGTCGTGTAATCCGTATCGGTCTCTTGGTGGTATATGCAGCAACTGGTATATTTTGTGATGTGTGTATAGAAATATTTCTTTAGCTTCTTGGTGTTTTTGTTTCCTTTTTTAATGCAGGCAAGCAGCTTGTCTTTTTTGTCTTCATTTCTGTGTCCCAGGACTTTAAACACTAAATAGCTTTCTTAATCTCTTAAAGATATGCATACACGTAGTTTACAGTGCCCCCCACAGATGGCATTGGGTGACAGTGGAAGAGATGTCATGAAGCCACACAAGCAAATATCCCTGGCCTGTGGAGGTGACATTCTCACAGGATCGAGACAGGCAATGACCCTGACAAATACATTGCACCCTCTGTTAGAAGGTGGTGTGTGCGGTGGGAGAAACCAGAGCAGAAGAGCAGTCGGGCAGGGAGGCCAGCTGCAGTTTCTAGGTGGTCCGAGAGGGCCTGTTGGAAGCCCATTGAGAAGGTGGCCTTTATCTGAGCAGAGATGTGAAGGAGCCGTGGAGACATCTAGGGGAAGAGCATTCCAGGCAGAAGTGCCCGTGCACAGGACCCAAGGCGGGCTCCAACCTGGAGCCGGCAGCTGCTGAGCTGGCAGCTCGGTGGGTCCTGCGGGTATTTGTGTCTGAAGTATCTTGACAGCTGGCTTCACAGGTTGCCCAGGGAATTCTGGCTGAAAACTTTCATTTTATAAACTAAGGTGATTTATCTGCGTTTTGAGCTCTGACCTTCTTCCTTTGGGGGATTTTAAAGTGAGTTTCCTAAATATTTGTCAAAAAGATTTACTAGTTAAAGCTTAACTGAGAAAAACAGGTTCCATAGCAGAGGAGTAACTTACTTCTTTGAAAATGCTAGGGGAATGTCGAAAGGAGCATAGTAGTATTAATAACAATAATTAGTAATAATAATCAATGAAATGGATGTGAAGAGAAAGATCTGCTGAGAAATCAGAGTTGATTCAAATTGCCATATAGTATCTATAACTGTTATTTTATGGCTATCTTTACCTTTATGAAGAGTAATAAAGTATACTTAGTGAAAGATCTTTTCTATGTACACATCAAATGAAATAATCTTCTTCTGAAAGAGAGAGTTCTCAAAGAGGAACAAAATTTAAAATACCTCCGTGAAGATGACTTCCTGACTAGTGAATTTTCCTCCATATCTCCTGAGAGTTAAGAGGAGAAGTGAACGTGTTGTGAGGGGCTTCGCCAGTTTTGTTGGATGCCTGCCGTGGGCACAGCCTTCGCTCCGGGAAAACCGGAAGGTCACACGGCCACTTGCTCTGAAAGGGCCGAGGGTCTAACCAGGCACTTGGGATAAACTGGTGCATAAAGCAAGGGAGACGCGGTCAGCACAGCTCCTCTGGCACAAGCACATGTGTGTTCAGCAGGAGAGGGACAGAGGTGGAGAGAACCTCCTGAGTGAGTGTTCCTCCTTCCATTCATTCTGCAGGCTCTTCCTCAGCACCCACGAGGTGAAAGATAATCTGGATTATTGTTGAAAGATAATCTGGATTTTTTCTTTGAGTTTCGAAAGTGCCATTCAGTGTGGAAGAGCTGAGGAGAGACGGCTAGTCTAGAATCAGGGAGGCGGATTGGATGGACTTGGGGCAATAGCCTAAGTTCCTACCACCAGCCAGTTTCTCCCTGTGAGAACTCAGAGTTGTAGGCAAGTCACCACTGTTTCGGGTTTCTGGCAGTTGGGTTCATTTGCTTCACAATACTTTCCTGTTGTTTTTGCAGCAAACCAAAGAGAGAGTAAAGCTATTGATACAGCTGGCTGATGGCTTTTGTGAAAAAGGGCATGCCCATGCAGCAGAGATAAAAAAATGTGTTACTGCGGTGGATAAGAGGTACAGAGATTTCTCTCTGCGGATGGAGAAGTACAGAACCTCTTTGGAGAAGGCCCTGGGGATTTCTTCGGACTCCAACAAATCGGTAAATTGCCTTGTACAAACTGAGTAAGTCATGGTCTTCTTCCTGATTTCCCTCTTTACTGATTTAATTAATTATTCCACAGAGTAAAAGTCTTCAGCTAGATATCATTCCGGCCAGTATCCCTGGGTCAGAGGTGAAACTTCGAGATGCTGCTCATGAACTTAATGAAGAAAAGAGGAAATCTGCCCGCAGGAAAGAGTAAGCCTGTCTTTAAGAGTCTACCAAGAGTCATTGAAAAAGTGAAGAAAAGGTCATTTAAACAGAAAATTATGTGTGCTTAGAAATCAAACAGCACTGAGACTTTGTTGCTCTGAGTGTACTTACTTTATTCAGCATAGATTTCACTGTGGTTTCTATCCCCTTATCACCTAGTTTAGAAACAGTGTGATGTTTTTATCCTTGTGCCTTTGTTTCATATGAAGGCAACAAATTGTTATTGTTAGGTAGTAATACTAAGGAGAGAAAAATTAATAACACAAATTTAGGTGCTTTGAAGTTGCCGGTGAGTAAACTCTACTATATGTAAAGAAAGACAAAAGATTACTCTAACCCAGTGGTTCTCGACTAGGAGCAACTTTGTCCCCCTGGGGACACTGGGCAATGTGAGGAGACATTTGGTCGTCACACAGTGGGGAAGGGGAGAGGAGGGTGCTGCTGGCATCTAGTGGGTGGAGACCAGGGAGGCTGCTGAGCCTGCTGCAATGCAGAGGACAGCCCAACAACAAAGAGTCATCCGGCCCAGAATGTCAGGAGAGCCGAGTTGAGAAACCTGATCTATAGGTGTCTCAGTAAAATATTTTCAAAAATCTTTTTTTTCCTTTGAATTAGAGGCTGGATACTATGGTTCTGTCTATTCTTGATGTACCTCTCCAAAACCATTACTTTAGGACCACAACTTTTAGACCCTCTTTATTCTTCCATAAATTCATAAAAGTGGAGAGTGAACTAAACACGCTTCCTGACTGTGAACCACACTCTGCTCATTGTCTTCCTCTGTTTAAGGTTCATAATGGCTGAGCTAATTCAAACAGAAAAGGCTTACGTAAGAGACCTCCGGGAGTGTATGGATGTAAGTAAGTTTTGTTTGTTTGTTTATACTGAGTATAACCTTGCTACGTTATTCTCACCTATTGGTAGTTCTTGGAGTAATCGCAATTTTTTGGTTATTTTTTGAAATTTAAAGTGTGCTTAAGCGGCCCGTTTCATGTTTCTGCACTTCTGTGGAGTTCCAGGCTTGTTTTCCACTCATGACAGAGATGATACAGCATTAATCCTCGCGTTCCATTTATCACATGATGGCCCGACTGACATTCTCTTTGTGCAGAATTTTACAGCAGCTCCAGAGAAATGTGCCTACTGGTTTTGATTGGCAACTTATACTCAGTAGTGTCATGGATATTTGTTGTACCGTGTGGAGTAGGTTAACTCCAAAGTCTGAAGCTGGGAATATGTTTAGAGGTAAACTAGAAGGTGTTGTAGGAACCCTTCTCTCAAGTATTAACAGCAGCTGAAGGGCTTTTTTAGAAGGGTTTTTCATGTTTTGTAAAAGGTTCCATTCATTCCTCAATTATGTTTTCATTCATACATTAATCCTGAGAATGTGTTTATTTACAGATGTCAGGAGTAACTATTTCTTGGAAATTTGGTGTTGATTTTGTCTAATCCCTCTGTTCCCCTCCGGCCAGACCTACCTGTGGGAAATGACGAGCGGTGTGGAGGAGATCCCGCCCGGCATCGTGAACAAAGAGCTCATCATCTTCGGAAACATGCAGGAAATCTATGAGTTTCATAATAAGTGAGTGGCCTTATCTTTGGGGAGTAGTTAACTCGTGAAATCTAGATACCGTGCTGAGGTTTCGTAAGAAATAAAAGTTTCCGGTTAAATTAAAGCAGGTCTCAGTGATTTTGTTGTAATTTGAATTAAGTCTCTCAGCCTTTCTACAAAAGGACTGACATTCTAGAGACCCTTTTAATAACCTCAACTTTATATTTGTACCGATTTTCTACAGAAATAAGATTAGGAAAGCTGTGGAAATGTTTTTGTGGGACCCCAACTTCTTTCCAGCCAAGTCATCAGCTGCTGCCTGAGTTGCTTCTGAGGGTTAAAAGACAGCAGAGCCCCCGCGGGACAGCTGGCCTGTGTTGTTTGTTTGGTCTTTTATGAATAAGAGGGAGGGAAGGACTGAGGAAGGAACAGATATGTAGTCTGAACAAATAAAATGTACTTTCCACTGGCCACAGGAGGTGCGTGATTTTATTTTTAATATCTTAAAAAAGCAGCGGCAGCAGCAGTTCTTTAGGTGGGGTCTGTGCAGCCCACTGCCTGTGGTGAGATGACACCACGGCCTGAGCTAGTGGGGTCTCCTTGCTCCCCTGGCCCTGCCCCAGCAGAAGGCACAAAAATGCCAAATGGGTTTTTCCAGTGAACATTTATGTCCCTCAATTTTATCCTTAGCTACCTAACCACTAGCATTTTCCCAGAAGTAAGCTGCTAGGTTAAAATTCCTGTTAGGAAAGGTTTGAAGGCTAAACTGGTTAGCTGCTTCTAGTTAAGAGCTATACATTTTGTTAATTCTTAAAATCCAGCGGGCACACAGTTTTCAATTCCTAGCATATCCCACTAGTAAAATGTTTTTAAAAACCTTCATAATATGATAACATTTTCATTCCCCGCAGTATATTCCTAAAGGAGCTGGAAAAATATGAACAGTTGCCAGAGGATGTTGGACATTGCTTTGTTACATGGGTAAGGAAACCTCAGCTACTTGTTCTCAGGTATTCGGTGGCATTGAGTAAGTTAGAAGGGATGTCGTTCGTTTCTTTCAAGTCACCATCTTCTGCTGGTATCCGTACATGCAGAGAAATGGACTTTACCTCAAAGAATTACATTCTACATAACTAGAATTGCTAGTAGTTATTATGGAATGAGTTGTTCAGTGGCAGCAGAGATGGTTTGAAATAGAATATTTAGTGTATTGGGGCTCTCCCTGACCCTGGGGATTCCCTGATAGATGAGCGTGCGGTGCTGATCGGGGATTGTCCAGTCTGGAGGGGAGGCAGACAGGCGAACCAGGGCTCATAGGGTCATGCTGTCAAAAGCCTGCAGCCAAGGTTTGCACGCACGGCTGTGGGAAGAGAGACGGCAGGTCCCCAGCCCCAACTTGCTGCGTAGGGAAGGCTTTTGGAGGGACGTGGTATCAGGAGGATGTGTTTCTTATTCAGTAGCTTCTTTTTAAAGTAGGATTTCTTATATTTGAGGCTTAAATTTGTTTTATCCACACAGCTTCTTTCCTATATAAAAGTTTATCATATTTGTTGCAGTTTGAATGAGATATTCTAATTTTTATTTATTGATTTATTTTTGAATATAGGCAGACAAGTTTCAGATGTATGTCACATATTGCAAAAATAAGCCTGATTCTACTCAGCTGATTTTGGAACATGCAGGGTCCTACTTTGATGTAAGTAATAGATTTCTAAAGAAGCCGTGAAATTTTCCACGTTATGTATATAAAATGCAACATTACTCATAACTTTCACCCAAATGGTGGTGCTAGTTGTTTTATTTTCATTTTTATCATGTTTATGTTGGGATGGTTTTATATTTTCTTCTGTTTTTAAAAGATCCTATTCAAGTACTGGAAGCCTTGTATCTTATATATTATATCTTATATCATATATATTCTTATATATAAGAAATTCAGATTTTAATGTGTACCTCTGTTTAATATGTATATACATTTGTGTGTATATATCATTACTTTTTACATTCAGTCATTAATTTTTTACATGTCGTATTGTACACAGAACATATAAACTATTAAATTAAGCTGCTTTTTCCCCCTCTATAACAAAAATAAATTTGAATCATGTTATTTATTTTTCCTGTGTTAATTTCATGATGTTATGGATTTCCAAAAGTGACCTACCAGTAAAATTTTACAAATAGCAGAGTAACAACTAGGATTAATCAGAAGGTTCATTAATCGCCTTCTCATCGGAGTAAACATAGACAGAGGTCATCTGTTTGGGGGAAGATACTGCAGGGAGGTTATTTAGCACAAAAGGGATGGAGCCTTATGACGCGATACACAGAATGCTCTTTGGGTTTCCAGAGCTTGGTCAAATGTGTGCACAGTAAAGTGTGTGTGGACAAGTGTGATAATCTGCTCTTACCTGAAAGTCTGGGAAATTAGAAAAGAACTTTAATTTCTATCTGTGAGATGAAGCCCTGCCTGGAGATGACCCTATTTTAGTTGTCATTCCCATGACCAGTAATTATACATCACTGCCTTTGTAAATGTGAAGCCTGCTCCCAGCCCAGTGTGGCCTGTTCTTTTAATATTTTACGTGAGCCTAGATCTTTGCCATTAGATGAAACCCAACACCATGGCTGCATGCAGACTTAGTATTACTTAAGGCCTAGGCATTGAGAGCATGTGGCACATTTAATGTTTGGAATCAAAGCCATTTTAAAAATTATTGTGAACTAAAACATCTTTAACAATAAAAGAAATCATGCTTGTCTGAGAGATTTCACAAATTATATGCCTTTAATATTCATTGTACAGTTGCTTTATTTTTTAAAGAGTCTTTCCTTTATAACTTAGTCCATTCTCCAAGACACCTGTTACCCTTCGATTATACTTCTTTCTGGTTATAAACATTTTTGAACATCTGTCAGGTGTTCATTTAACTCTGAGCTTGGTCATAGGTGCTTAGCTTAGACTGACAGACAGTGCAGACAGGGTGCCCACCTTCACAGTGAGGCATACAAAAGGCCGGCAGATGATTGTGTGTAAAGCAGTGGTCCCCAGCCTCTTTGGCACAGAGACTGGTTTCATGGAAGATAACTTTTCCACAGACCAGGGGTGGGGTGGGAGGAGGCAGAGCTCAGGCGGTGATACAGCGATGGGGAGCATCTGTAAATGCAGAGGAAGCTTTGCTCACTTGCCTACTGCTCAACGACCCCCCCATTCCTAAGTTTCATGGAAGACAATTTCTCCACAAAAGGGGTGGGGGAGGCACGGAGCTCTGCAGCCAGGTCCTTAACAGGACGTGGACCAGGGGTTGGGGACTGCAGGTGGAAGGGACATAATTATGAAATGCAAAGTGAAAATCTGAAAATCGTGTGAAGTGTGCCACTGACCAACAATATAGATCCTCCCTTTTACCCACAAAGACCTTCCCTTTCCAGAGTTTCCTCTCTCCTATGCAAGAGTAAAGTTTTAGAAGCAAAGTTTTTGTTAATATTCTAACAGCCTTTTAGGAAAAGGAAACTTTATTATTTCAGCAGGATGAAGCACTTGTCAGGTACAGTATTCGAAAAGTAATGTGCTCTCGTAGCTATTTTTTATTAGTATACCCCTATGGTAAGATTTGTTTTGTTTTGTTTTTTTATGCAGGAGATACAGCAACGGCATGGATTAGCCAATTCCATCTCTTCCTACCTTATTAAACCGGTTCAGCGAATAACGAAGTATCAGCTCCTTTTAAAAGTATGTGTGGAGCATCTTCAGCCTGCAAAGTTTTATGAATTATGCATTACTATTTTGACATTTTCTCTGTATTTATGTAGAGAACTTCACCCTGAATTTTTTGAAATTAATGTTATTTTGTTATTCTTTGCCATTTATTGCTCTGCCTAATTTCTCCTTGCAGCAGTTAAATAAGAATGTATTCCTTGGTTATGCACCTGAACTGCGCTGGCTGACCTTAGTCTCTGACATAAAATGAGATCTGCATGAGGAACTGTCATTTCTCGATACTTTAGTACCCTTAGTTCCTGGTGTGGCTTGCCGACTATGGGTCATCTGCTGTGCTTGGTACTTTGTATATATCAACCTCACAACCATGCTAGTCTGCAGGTGGAGAAATAGCCCCAGAGGGTAGGAATGTGCTCAGAATCGTTACGGATACCTGTTATCTGGGCTCAGCTTTGAACACAGGTCTGGCCAATGCCCAGGTTCCCACCGAAACCATGAAGAACCCACCCCCAGGTAGCTTCCTCTCAGTTATCATCAGTCATTTATCACACACACCTTATAGGACATGTCATTCACTCAGGTCACAGGTATTTGAGTCAGACTCATCTCTGCTTTTTCTTGGTTGTGAATGATTGTAATTAAAATCACACTTGGAAAAATCTAATAGTGATTAGTCTTGACAACAGAAAGTCAAAGAAAACTTACAATTTGTGCTAAAAGTTGTCACAGAATGCATTGTAGATCATCAATACACATTTTCCTGGCAACATAAAAATAATTTATAATCTCTGTCTGGTGATGTTTACCATACTGTTTCCTTGGCTGGTGAATTTTATTAAGCATTAGAACATAGAAAGCATCCGCTCATCCCAGTGACAGTATTTTGTGACTCCTACTATGTTCCAGGTGCTGTCCTAGGCACTACAACAGGAAGGTATGATGTAATTGTTCTAGATATAAAAGAAATTCAGAAAATGGAGTTATGAAACTCTTATTTACCCTTTTTGGTAGTAAGAAAAATCTAGAAACAGTATGAAGTGGCTATGTTCTTTTTTCCTGGGAAAGCTCTCCTGTACTTTATATCAAAATTCCATCAAGTGATTTTATGACCATCACTACAGAAATATGTAGTTGTTGTGAACATGAAATAAAAAGTCAGGAGGCTAATTTGTTTATATTCAAATTTGCCCTTTGCTTTCTCATTCTGCAAAGGCATTTTACCTCTTAGTGTCCTCAAGATTTAAGAATTTTGTTTTTTTAACATGTGGTTCTACTAAACTAACACTTAAATTTATAAACCTTACCTTATTTTGCCTAGAGGTTCTTCAGGAGAACAGTAAGAAGCTACATTAAGCTTCCCAACAAGGAAGGTTTTCTGCCAGTGACGTTATTAGCCTCAGTACATTGCATTTTTAAAGCAGTTTTTACCAGGATGCTCAGAGTAATAGATAAACACTATCTGGTCGTGAGTGAAGGTACTTATCCAGTAACTGAGTTACTCTAAACTGTCCGGTGTGAGACCAAAGCTGGCTGCAGGGTCATGTCCCTCTTTTGTTGGCTACCAGGACACAAAAAACTATTGTTGCTGTTACTGATTGATAATAATCATTAATACACCAGGAAAAAAGTATCTTGGAGCCCGCCAGAATGTGAACTTATTGTTCCTGCTGTCATTCATTTAATAACAGGTGTTCCTCTAAATAGCTCTGAAATGTAGTTATATACATAGAGCTTCCAGGGAGGTGTCATTCAACCATCAGAGCTTTTGTAAACATCCTGCACACAAAGGAAACGCATTTTACTGTAGGAGCTCGTGTGGCGTCACTGTTCCAGCTACATGGTTTAGCTCTCCCAGATTAGATGGGGCGTTTTGTTAATGGCACCAGGGTTTGAAGTCATGCTAGGGTCGTGTGATAGGCCTACAGCTGGACTCTGGCAAGACCATCAGCTATAACCAGTAGCTGATTAGCATTACTATACTAATTAAATATTTGTATTTATTATTTTTGAGGTATACTAAGTCCATCTTAAACTACATGTGCGTCTGCTTTACCCTGATGTCCTGATTTGAGCAGAATAAACCATGCCATCCACTGATTGAAGAGGTGGTAATTTGTTTTCTATGAGAATACATGCCCAGTTGACCACAGTCTGTTTTTGTCTTAAAAACCATGGGTTTTCACAGACTCCTTCATTTCTGCAGAGTTCTTGTGGATGGAGCATTCTACAGCATTTACCCAGGTCTTGGTCTTCACAGGAGCTCCTGACGTGCTGTGAGGAAGGAAAGGGGGAGATTAAGGACGGCCTGGAGGTGATGCTCAGCGTGCCCAAGAGAGCCAACGACGCCATGCACCTCAGCATGCTGGAAGGTAGCTGGACTCCACGTGGCCCCAGTGTGCATTCGCACAATTTCTGCCGATGCTGTTTGTGAACGGATTTCCTGAACCTAAATATCTTGGCTTTATGCCTTTCCGTTTAGTTAGTAGTTAAGAGTTTAGATGTGAGTGTCTTCTTTTTTTTTAAAAGAATCAGTGTCACTGCTTTTTTTTTTTTTTTTAAGCACAACATAAATGCTCCTACCTTGTTGAAAGCCTTTTCTTGTCCCTTAACTGGAAATGGCCTCTCCACACTCTGAGCTCAATAGCACTTTGTGCCACTTGCCTTAGGCTGCTTGGCTTCCCTGTTAGATGAGTGGGTGGAAGGATAGCTGGAGCCCCGAGACTGCAAAACCCTTAAAAGAGCTTGTTGCTTCCCCATCTCTGTCCAGTGCATCACTTGCCTGAGCCTTGAACATAGTTGCTTCCAGATACTGCCTGTGCAGTTGAATTTGGTGTGTGACGAGGTAAAGAGAAAATTAGATAAATATGTTCAACAATTATTATAGCAATCATAGTTTTCATGAATGCTTCTGTTTAAGAAAGCTTTTTCTGTGTTGAAAAGCTTAGCTCTTAACAGGTTACACAGAATTATTTATAAGAATTATTTTTAAATAATCCTGCTCCAAATGCTTCTGCTAGCTTGTGTCGTTATTATCAGTAATATTGAGCAATATATTAGTTCGCACATAGGTGCTGCTGTGTGTGATGGAGACCCAAAACTCGAAGGCTGAGTGAGACCAGTTTCTCTTTCTCTGATGTAAAATGCTGAGCTGGTACGGCAGCTCTTCATGACAGCATCAAGGACTCAGGCTGTGTTCCAGCTAGTTTCTCTCTATCCCAGATGTTGTCCTATTGGCTCTGTATAGAATGTTTCAAGACCAGACTACCATTCCATCTAGCAGGAAGCGGGAAGGGAGGGCGGATGGGCAGAGACTACAAGTTGTACCCATCCCTGTCCTCATGGCCCGGCTGCTCCAAGCTGCACAGGGGGCTGGGGAATGGAGCACTTATCTTGAGTGGCCCTGGAGGGAGCTTCTGCTGTTAGGGAAGGGAGGGTAGGGCCAGCCAGTGCCCCAGATGTTGATTTACTATGCCCTGGTGACTTCAAGTCCAGGTGATAAAGCAGGCCACATCCCCCCAGAGAGGAGCAGTGGTGAAGGCCAGCGTGTGGCCTGAGCGTGGCTGGCTCTCGTGCAGAATGTCACAGAGGAGGGAGGGCTCACCAAGGACGGGCAGCGGGGATGTCTCCAAGGAGCAAGACCAGAACAGTCCTTGAAGAAAGGCTGGACTTGAGTGGAATGTCTGGGAAGGGTGTGCTGGGCTGAGGAAGCAAAGGGACTTGGGATTGAGGCAGGAATGTGGGCGGGGGCTTAGAGAAGAGTGGGGGGACTGTTCCAGAAGGAGGAAGAAGTTTGGAATGCTGTGGGAGAGGGCTGAAGAGAGGTAGGGAGTTAAACTACATCTCGGGTGATGTGAAGGGAAAATGCACACAAAGTGGTGTTTTAGGAAGAATTATCCTTTGTGGGACAGGTCAGCAGTGGGGAGATTAGAGTCAGGGGAACCCTAATCTGAGGTTTAGTTGGTGGGCATTTTGCAAAAGTTGAAACAGTAATTAATACTGCTCTTTTGTGCATGATTTATTTTTCTTTTAAATTGATTTTCTTTTTCTCATGTTGTAGGGTTTGATGAAAACATTGAGTCTCAGGGAGAACTCATCCTACAAGAATCCTTCCAAGTGTGGGACCCAAAAACCTTAATCCGAAAGGGTCGAGAACGGCATCTCTTCCTTTTTGAAATGTCACTAGTATTTAGTAAAGAAGTGAAAGATTCCAGCGGGAGAAGCAAGTACCTTTACAAAAGCAAATTGTTTGTAAGTATAGGTGTCCAGAATCGTTAAGTCTGAAGATAACACAATTGCAGCCTTTTTGTAGGTGAGAAAAAAATATCATTTCTTGCCCTCAGTTTAACCTCCCAATCTATCCTAAAATGTGAAAAAGTCTGAATTGTAATGTTTTCCATCTTCAGTGAAATTCTCTCATCCTTGGGTCCACTAGAGGGCATGCTGGAGTTTCACAGACTTAGGAAACTTGCTCTTTATAAACTCTGGATCATCTAACTGTAGGATAAGGAGACATTTTTTAAGTGATTTTAGATCGCTTTGCCTTAACTAGCTTTATAAATACATTGATCATATCAGACTGTGATTAACTGTAAACTCTCATATCGTTGTAATTAATTTTTCATCCATAAACGTTGCTGTACATTCAAGCAGCCTTACTGGGTAGCTCCCTGTAGATTCTTAATGATGAGATTTGGTATTTTTTAATTAATAAATTTATGGAAAATAAATGCACAAATAAAGTTATAGTTCTTTGTAGCAAAATATCATTATTAGACAAAATATGTGAAAGCAAAAACAAAGTTGAAAGATTCACAGTCCCACCTAGGTGCGGACAGCTGCCCTTCAGTGCTTGTCTGATCCAGTGATGCATTTGAATTCTTATTTTACCGGTCAGTGCACTTCTTGGCAAGAGAAATATACCTGGTGCCATTTTGTTCCTAGTAGCCAGCTTAACCAGCATCTTTATGAAGCTACATGTGTACAGTAAGAAAAGCCCGAGACCGGTATAGTCCTCTGGGTCCACTGTACTTCATCTTCCTTAGCAGGCCATCTCTCAGAGGGCTGGCAACAGAATTGCTGGGCAGGGTTGGGCAGAGGGGAGGATCAGGTGAGACTAAGGAGAAATCACCCATCCAAAAAAGAATAGAAAATGCAATGGAGTTGGGTTTCTTTGTGACAGATTGTTTATATTAATAAATATTGGTGTTTGCTGTTTGGACAACTTATACATTATACATTTTTATGATTGTCATATATTAATCAAATTCCCAAAGTAATAAAATATCCCCAAGTGTGGAAATCATCTTAATAATAATCTGGAATTTGCAGGTTCCAACTAATGGTTTTCATACCATTTTCTTTGGCTTCCATCCTATTCGAGATTGTCTTTTGGATCACAGCTTGCCTTACATCATTTTAGGTCACATTCTGACTGGAAAGAAAAAATGCAACGTTTCTGGCTGGTAATTACACTAGCTGGCTTTAATCTGCCTTTAGAGACCAACCTAGTCTGTTTTAGAAGCCGATACATCTTCACTTAATTTATCTTTTAAAAGTTAAGATTTCCTCAGAGGCCACCTCTGGAGCTCTAGGTTATGAATCACTTCCTTTGGTGGAGGGAGAATGCGTCAGGGGTGAACTTAACTGAGGGGGAGGGGCTGAAGATGTGGGCCTTCATCTGTGCTCTTCCGTGTTCTGCGTATATCACAGAGCGGAGTTCTGCCTCTTAGCCCTTAAAATTGTTAGTGAAACACTAAAAGTTAATACTGTTGATAAATTGGAAAATAACTGAAATGTTAAAACAGCTACATCATTAATGCTGAAAATTCATGGTGGCAGCCCTTTCGGAATTAGGAAAGACTTATTTTGTTGCTTATAAGATTCAAAATAGTCAAATCTTGATTTTCCAAATAGCAGGATTTTCAGATCTTTTGGTATCCTTCCTCTGGAATTTTTGTTTATTGACCTGCTCCTCTGAAGTGCTCAGAGGAAGTAAAAGATGAAACTAACCTTTAAGAACAAAATCTCTAAATTTCCTCATTTTGACTAAAATGAGATCTAAGATTGCCCATCAATGTAAAGGGCTGTGTTATTACCAACATGACTGCAAGTAACCAAAAACAGTTTTCTTGGTCTCTGTTCTATATCCTGCCAGAATTTTACTGTCACCTAATTATGTAATTGTCTTTTTATCCAGACCTCAGAGTTGGGTGTCACAGAACATGTTGAAGGAGATCCTTGCAAATTTGCACTGTGGGTGGGGAGAACACCAACTTCAGATAATAAAATTGTCCTTAAGGTATGTTCATTTGAAGCTGGGGAATGTGTGTGTGGAAAGCTTATTGTGGCTGTTGGTGCCTTCTTTCCTGTAGTTGAAGCATGTTACTTTGTGCGTTTATGGGTATGTATGTGTGTGCTCTGTCAGGATTGGTGACTACCACAAAAAGACATAGTGGAATAAACTCAGGTATTCTGAAGACGAAGAACTTGAGCTGAACTTTTGCTTGCTTCCTAAAAGAGCAAATGAAGGAAAGGTCTTTTCAAACTTCTCCCATTCTTCCTGTCTTAGAGTTAGTTGGTTCTATAAGACATGCAGGATGTTGGGGTATTGGAAGAACAAGATACAGACCAATAACTCTCATTGCACACTTGACCTTGAATTTCCAAAGGGAAAAAGTCCCCTGGTGCATTTGTGAGGGCCTTTGACAGGAAGTTGAGGCCAGGTGTGCCAAGTATCTTCATGGAGTCCTTGGCTCTTTGGCTTAATAGTTTGGGGCAGAGAAAAAAGAGGGATGATTATTAATGACAGGGTTTGGTACTGTTATAAGTTCAGCAACACTCAGGGTGCTCTGGGGTATATAGGCTTTTGGGGAGGAAAATATCTTTGGATATTTGATTTGAACTGTTTTGGTTATACTAACCTCTCCCAAGAACGGTAAAGGACTCTCAGAGTGTCTTACATACTTTCCTCCTCTGCATTTGAGGAAATACAGATGGAACTGTGTTTTTATGTCATCTGGAAAAACCATAAGCAGCTTCAGGATGTTTGGGGGAAGATGTAGCTAAGATTTGTAGAATGTTGGGAGACAAGCCAGCAGTGTAATGAGACTCTGGTGTGTGAACTTGCATGTTACCTCTTGCGTCTCTTGCATACCTTTTCATCTCTCTTTGGTATTACCAGTGACTATGAGTTATTCATCTGTGCATTTCTCTTTCAGAACCTGTTCTTTAGTGGAAGCCATTGTGTTTTTAAGATCTTTATTCACATGTAAACAATGGATTGGTTTGCAGTAGATATATGATTACCAGCCCAGTGTGTTCTTGTTAGTACTGGCATAAAGCCCTGTACAATACAAATTGCACTGATAGCTAAATTTAAATTACTGAATTTTTCTAAGGCATAAACTTTTTAAAGTATACTCAGGACCTTAAAACTTGCAACTTTATATAAACTATCCAGATTAACTACAGTGGCAGAGACCAAAAGGTGCTTCTGAGAAATAGTGCCAGATATTTTAGCCAGATATGGACTGTTTTCATTTAGGACATAATAAAATGCTCAAGATACAGTTGAAGGATAAGACTTTCTGCAGGCTTCACCAGATGAAAGTTTTCTAGGGAATTTTTGGATAATATCTTTCTTCCAGGGAGATACTAAAGGAAATGATGTCCTCATGAATTTCAGAGATTGCTTTATAGTGTTGGTGGTAGTGGTGATGGAGGAGTGGTGGTGGTGGTGAGGGTGTAGATGAAGGTTGTGGTGTAGATTTGGGTGGCTGTGATGGTCTAGGTAGTGGCGAGGATGTAGATTTGGGTGATAGTGTCAGTATAGGTGGTGGTGGTGGTGGTGCTGAGGGTGTAGATGAAGGTAGTGGTGGTCTAGGTGGTGGTGGTGGTGGAGGTGGTGGAGGTGGTGGGGGTTAAGAGTGTAGATGGTGGTGGGGGTGTAGATTTTGGTGGTAGTGCTGGGATAGATGGTGGTGATGGTCTAGGGTGGTGGTGAGGGTATAGACAAAGGTAGTGGTGTAGATTTGGGGGGAAAGTCTAGGTGGTGGTGGTGGTGAGGGTGCGGATGGAGTGGCGATGGTGCTGGTGATACGGTGGTGGAAGTGGTAATGGTGATGTCCTAGTAGCCGTACAACAAAATTTGGTCTTTTTTGCTTGTGTGGTCTGGAAAGGAGAATTGATTTCTAAGTTCGTCCTTAAACAGATTGGACTACCAAGAGTATGAAACAAATTACTCCCTTCTCTTAGCCCAGTAGGATTTTTTACTTAACACTTTGGCTGTTACCTTTCTCCTATTATTTCTGAAAAAATTGACATCTTTTTTTCTTGTTTAATTTTTTTAAAGTTAGTTAAGAGAATTAGTCTCCATAAATGTCATGATCAATTTGCATGATCAATTCTTTTTTATTTCTGAACCATGTTAACAGTTTTCCTCGGTTGTTTCCAAACTCTGCCAAATGTTCTTTCATGGGTACTTCTCTTTGTTTAACCTTCCAAATATTGTAATCAAGCATTTAAATTCCAATAGATTTGTAGTTTTTAAAGTTTTCTTTCCTGGGACATTTATTTCCCACATGAACCCCTGTTCCCTGGGCACTCTGCCTTCTTCCTGCCTCAGCCGCAGGAGGCGTTGGTCTCACCTCTGTCATGCATCAGATCTGGGAAGAGGGAGCAAGAAGTTTCCTTTATCCTTCATCCATTTCCCTGTCACTACGCTTAAGTAACTTTACAGACATACCCTCCAGTTAAAACATTGTATATAGAAAGAGGGTTATCAGATCAGTTTTAATTTCCTTTCCCAGCATGGGCTTTGATTTTCTGTTTTCGAGAAATGATACACAATGAGAAATGTTGGGTTCTCCTCCCTTCGTGATCTCATCTGTGATCCCACTGACAATTATTTTAATCATTTACAGGGAATTATGCTTATATCATAGGAGGTTGATGTTTTCCATAAGGAAATTAGAAAACCGTTAGTAAGGCCGAGAAAATGTAAAAAGAAAAAGCAAAAAAACACCTCCTTTGAGAGGCAGAGCATTACAAAAAAATCTGGAAAAAGTGATGCCATATGTGTTCATTCAACAGATGCTATTGAGTTTCTACTCTGTGTCATTGTCAGGGAACAATTCTCCAAAGTCGTGATGGCACTGGGGGTGAATCCACCATAGGTGATTAGCAGCTGGTGACCTGGGCACATTTCTTGCTGTGTCCGTGCGTGCCTCAGTTCCTCCTTTATAGAACGAGGATGATGGAGGCCCCTACCATAGAGCCCTTGTGGGAGTGAGTGAGAGATTACACGGGAAGCACTTAACCTAGCACGGGGGAGGGAGGGGGTAGAGTGAGGGTGGCACATGTTCATGACTCCAGCAGATGAGGCAAGAGGTCACAAGGGTTAGTTCAGTGTCCTGCTGACAGTTTGCGAGCCACTGACCAATGCACAGCAAAGTCTTTGCCTAAGTAGCCTCCAAGACGTTTTGGTTTGGGGGTGGCTGTGTTTGCTTAATTGGCCAGGGATGCTTAAAAGGTTTCAGGACTGGAGAGTGATGTATTATTAGAAAAGTCAGAGATCTGGAATAACATATATGCTGTAAGATAAAAATGGTTTTGATGAAAAAATTTTTTAAAATAGAGTCATAAATATTTATTTGGTGGCAAATTAGTAGGATGTGGTTGCTTTTCTCCTGAAAAGTTATTTTGAAAATGGGAAGCTCGAGGAATGCAGGAGACCAGAGTGTGGGCAGTGCAGGGTCTGGAAAGGGTCCTTCTGCATCCTGAGTGATTCTGACACCTTGTTAAGGCTTCCAGCATAGAGAACAAGCAGGACTGGATAAAGCACATCCGCGAGGTGATACAGGAAAGGACCATTCACCTGAAAGGAGCCCTGAAGGAGCCCATTCACATTCCCAAGACAGCTCCAGCCACAAGGCAGAAGGGAAGGAGGTGAGTGCTCCAGATGTGTTTGCAGGTTTGTTCGTTTGATAGGGAGGGAACAAGGCAGGGTTAGCTTACCATTTTTCAAAAATCATTTTTCTCAAACGTTTTGAGGAATAGGTTTTTAACACTACCACTTGTGTATAACATCATTCTTAGTAATGAAATTCTTTGTCAAGACAAGAGCCTCTATTGGCTTAAAGTAAATGAAGGTCGATGTCCTCCTTCACCATGTCCCTTCCTCACCCAAGTGCTATTCAGTGCACATGTGTAAATCACACTGTGACCTTGGACAAGTTATGTAGAGCATCCAGACATTTTTATTTTCTCGTTTCTGAAATAGAAACAATCCTATCAACCGTATTTTATAATGGTGAGAATTCAGTGGAATGATATATTTAAGACATTTAGCACAGTGCCTAGCAAAAAGCTCATGCTTGCTATAGAGTGATGTGTCATCGTTAGCATGTGGCAGGCAGTCACAAAGACTGACACGCACCTCTTTAAACGAGTCAGTTATTTCCCCAGGGACTGATGGAGCCCAGCAGTGTCAGGAGTTAAAAGTTTCTTTATACCACCAGGGATGGAGAGGACCTGGACAGCCAAGGCGATGGCAGCAGCCAGCCCGATACGATCTCAATTGCCTCCCGGACGTCTCAGAACACACTGGACAGCGACAAGGTAAGCTGTCCCCAGCACTTTCTATGGGGAGGTGAATGTGGCCGGTGTCTGGTCGAAGTAGCCTCTTTCTCTCTGTAACTGACAGTTCATCATCAACGTTTTCAAACGTTCGCTGTGTGCCAGGAGCAGGGCCAGGACCTTGTGGCAGGGGCAGAGACTTTGGGGTCTCAGGATTAAAAGACTTGAACCCCGAGGATTCAGGAGGATCACTCACTCCTTGCAGCATAGTTACAGGATGTTTGAAGACAGTGTGCTGAAGCTTTATTTCACTCTTAAGCAGAACCTATCCTATGAAATAGAATCCTACACAGAACCCCAGCATAGGTTGTAGCTTAGTCTGTTCAGGATGACGAGCACTCCTCCAGTGATTCAGAGACACAGGAAGGAAATACTTTATTACTTACAGGTCCTGGGGGGTACACAGAGGCCACACACATGGAGGTCAGGGAGCATGTGGAGAGAGAGGGGACCCATGGGCCAACGCCTTTGTTTGGTCCAGGGCATCGTCGAAACAGGCTCTCCACAGGGAGTGTTAATCGATGAGTGTAAAGCAAGCAGGCATGAGTTTCAGGAGGTCATGCAGTGACTGAGAAGTGGTCGCTGTGGCGAATCTGCACAGCCCATGTCGGGTATTACAGTCAGCAGGGCTTATAAAGTAGGTTGCATCTAGCTGTCCCATAGGGACAGTTGTATAAGGCGGATGTCAGGATCGACCATGTTTGAGGAACTGGGGTGCGAAGGTGGAGAACTGGAAACTGTGTCAAAGGTGACTGAGCCCTGCTTCTGGTGTGAGAAAGTTAAACTCGTTTTCAAAATGGATGCCGAGGCAGCATAAAGCTATAAGAATCCGTTACAGTGTACAAAAGTGGAGCTGCTCTGATGGAAGGCAGGGTGCCGGCATCCTCGCTGGTGGCACCTTCGTAGAACCTTGGGGTGCAGCAGGGCACAGCCTGTAAAAGTGATGACCACTGGGAGGACAGATCTGATTTTTATCAAAAAAGTTTATGTGGGTATACCCTCTTTGAAAAGGGCCTTTAGAGTATCCCATGATTTTGTCTTGGTAGAGTCCCAAAAGACTACTAAGTAAATTGACAATAGAATTTGAAATCCTGGGTTCACCTGATGGACAAAAGACCAAAACACTCCTCTGGGGAAGCCAGTGGGAAACATTTATCATAATGAATCTTCTGGCTTACCAAGATGAGCATCTGGTCTATTCCATGTCTAGAATGCAGGACCAAATTCTTTTTTTAAAAAATTGACATAAATAGGGATTTCGTTTAAATAACCATCAGCTCAGAATTCCTGAGTTTCTTACTCTGGCGCAAGCTGTGCTTTGTTACGTGAGACCTGATCATGGGACGCAGGAGTCTGTTCTTTGCATGTTGTTTCCATAGCCCGCTCGTTGGTAGGAGGGAACAAGGCCTTGGCCCCACTGTCATCAGGAAATGATTGCAGGCAAAGGACAGAGTCCATTATGTAGGGTTGTTGCAGATGGCGTATTTTACGGTCCCAGACTTTGGTCTTCTCTCACTTGGTTTTGCAGAAGAATTCGTGGTATTTAATGATATAGTTTCTAGGACAGAAGTAAATAAATTTAAAATATTGCTCTGCTACAATGATTTCATTTTCAAAATCCTTCTAGTTTGAGTAATTAGGTCTTTTTTTTCATTCTACTTCACTAAATAATAAGTCCTAGGACTTAGAGGTCTTAAAATAACAAGACTGGAGAGTAAAAAGAATGTCTCGTTTTATTTTGTTCATGGCCCTGTATATTCACATTCAGCAAATATTTCTTGCCAGTAGTAAGAAGAAATAAGATAAATGACATATTCAGGCCTTTTGGTGCCTGATAGCATTTCTCTCTGAGGCCCCACCCCAGAACCATTTAGATTTAAAAAATAAAATTTGAACCTGGAAACTTTGTTAGAATAATACTGATAATTTTTGTTGTTTTGTTGTTGTTGTTTTTCAAATAAGCAAGGTGATTGAGTTATCTAATCAGTTTACATTGGACTGCCACCTGCAAGAAAAGTCAGAAATGGTCCGCGCTTGGGTGCGAAGGGGAATGACCATCTTCATCCAGGGTGTTTCACTGTCTCTCCTTGAGAATCACTGTCACACCCAAAATTTACATTCCTATAAGATAAACTCTCCTGGATTTACTCTGGATTTACCCTAGAAAAGAGTTCAAAAGTTTATTAACAAAAAATAAATCATGTGAAGGAAATTGGCAAAGAGAGAAATGTAAAAGTTATACCTTGGAAGTTTCATTAAGACTTTTTTGGAGATTGGTCCAAGAAGCAAAGGTGACTTGTTTCTTCAGGTAGTTTACGAGTGAATGTGTGGCAACAGGGGTTTGGCAATCTCGTTCCGTGTTCTTGGTTCTTGGTGCGCTCTTGGCCAAAGAATGAGAAGACACACCAGAGTAAGGCAAGCGTGAAATGAGGTTTATTGAGGAGAGAAAGATAGGATTATAGAGCAAGATAGGGGTTTACAGAACAAGATACATATGCCACAGATGACGACTGGACTCTTCATCATAGCAAAAGAGGCCTTGGTTATGGTCTGGGTCTTGTTTTATAGTGTCTGGATAGGGACCTCCCCATGGTTCAGACGTCATAGTGGAACCACTTTGATGACAGTTGGAAGTTATAGGACCTGAGTCTTAGTGCATATGCAGATCTCCCAGGAGCCTCTGTGAAAGTCCATTTGAGGGGATGAACTGCAAAGTAGATTTAGCCTTAGGTTGTCGTAAGTTGCCTTCCAGATGCTTTTGTACCTATGCCGCTTGGCCTGTGGACTAGAGAGCCCCATGCATTCTTTTGCAGTTGGGGTGCTAAGTTCTGATTGGTAGATTGGTAGGGCGTTCCCTCCTCCCCCAGGTATGGCAGTACTTGTGACAGGATTGAGGGAGGGCAGCGCCAAGTCAGGGGCCTGGGGCCTGCCTTTGTCCTTCTTCCCAGAAAGGGCAATTGCTCAAAGCAGCACGAAGGCAAGGCACCCACTGTCATGCCTAGGAGACCCGGAATCCCTCAACATCTACCTGACACCTCTACTCGGCAGGGGCCTGAGATAGAGGTGCCTAGTGCCATGCCTGGCTTCCTGCTATGTGGAGAATTCCTTTGCTGGGCTACTATACCTCCCCAACCCCCACCCCCAGTGAGCCCTGGTCCCCTGAGGCTTGTGGCTGACTGGCATTCACCAGGGGCTTCCGTAGAAATGAGCCTCTATCCCAGAGTTAGGAATAATGAAACTAGCACTGCTTCAGCTCTGTTATAGCATAATAGTGCATGTTTGAACTTGGAATATAGGAGATTATATTGTGCCCAATGAGAGAGGAAGAAAAAATCACTAAGAGAAAAGTACAGGTTTGCAGTAGTGGGTAACTTTACTGTGGGAGTCTACTGGGATATGAGAATTTTAAAAGAATTGCCTATTAGATATTTTATCTGTGAAGATAATTCACCAGTTTCTGTTTACCTCATCTAATGTGTTATCTCTAAACTTCATTCATGAGCTCAGAAATCCCCAAAGGGTCATCCCTGCCAGATCAGCCATTGCCTCCTCCACCCAGGCTTCTGGGAGGTTCCTGCTGACACTTCAGGGTGAAGCTTACTGCACAGCCTGCCACTCAGCCACGCTCACCCTGACATTGTCATGGCTCCTAACCATCCTGAAGGGATGACACTCCTGACTCACTTTTTGAAATGGACCTGGCACGTGTCCTTTAATACACCTCGCTGAGACCACAGGTCCTTACTAGGCTCTAAAGCACAAAAAAGGGAGGCAATGTCCTCCAGCGCAGCGGTTATCTTCAGTTCTTGGGATCTGCATTTGGGATTAGAATAAACGGCATGTGAAAGAAAGAGAAGTCAGAATTTGGAGTTTGGAGAGGACATACCCATTAGGCCTTATAAAATGGAAAGAGTGTGTTTGCTACCACCTATGGCTTGCGTTTGTGTGTGCTCTGCTTTTGAAGTTTCTTTTAGCCATCTCCCATTTTGTGCTTCTGTGGTGAAACATTTCAGAGTCGATATTGGAGAGAATATGTTTTGAAAATTAGGGACTCCATCCTTTCCTGAGTCAGTTTGTAAAATGCACTCCTTCTGTGAACTAAGCTTAGCCAGCAACTTGTCTCCAATGACAGTAACTTCATAGGTCTCGGGGTTCTTTCCGCCCTGCATATTTCAAGTTTAAGCAGCCTCTGATAACAAAGGCAGATGGGCCTGGCAAGGGAAGTTACTTAATGACATTCTGCCTGTTTGACTTAATTTATGATGTCTGTTATGAGTTAGTTGTTATCATGGAATTTGGTTCCATTTCAGAAACTGGGTGGGGGGATGTTTTGACTCAGTGTCTTGGAGAATTCTTAAGGAAAAAGTTATCTGCCAGGACTGTTAGTAATTCTCTGATGAGACACAAAAGGTTTAAGAAAGAGTCCATAAAGGAGGGGCTCCGGAGACGCCCTCTTTCTAGGGAACGCTGTCCGCAGAGCCGGGTTAGCCTGGTCACAGACACAAGCCACACACCCGGGGAGCACATTTCCTACTTTGCAAACACCAGTTTTAAAATAAGCCATCTCTGTTCCAGAAGTGAGTTTAGCACCGATTCTTGCTGATACTCATGGTACTTAGGCTGATAAAATGATCTTAGGAAAATATGATTTGGGTTCCAAAGAAATCAAATGCTTTCCAGATTCTTATCTCATTTGTCCTGAGCGTATCTCCCTGAGGTGGGGAGGAGAGGGCTGGGCCAGGCCTGGGGCACTGAAGAGATCGAAGGCCGCCCAGCAGCAGAGAGCAAAGCCAGAAACGGAATGTGGATTTAATCATCTGTCGTTTTCTAGACCATATTATTTCACACTAGACGTGAATTTGGAACTGAATATTTTAGTATACCAAAGAAGCATCTTTAAAAACCTTTTTCCCACTCTCTGCTATATTAGTCTGTGGTTTATATCCCTTAACTAAAATTTATATTATAAGGAAATAGAAAGT